TCCAAGCTTAAGGCTTGGGAAGTCCAAATTGTCTCTTTTGTCTTTGTGTCTAAATTATTGCTTTATTTTTCTTAATTCAAGAATGATATAAATAAACTGAAATTGTATCACTATATTTGATAAAGTGGATTGATAAATAAAAGAACAAGAAAGTGTGATAGAGAGGAAGAGAAAGAGATTTACGAGAGGGATGGTGGTGAGAGAGATGGTGATGATCGTAGGTGAGAGAGAGTCTTATGAGAGGAAGGAGAGAGTGAAGTTTCGTGGAGAGTATTGGAGAGTATTGAAGAGTTTATTGTATTGAACTTATGTTACAACAAGTAACAATTACAAGTATTTATAGGCAGCCAAAATCATTAAAGAAATCAAGTCGGTAACTTGATGGCGGTGAAGGAAAACTTTCATTATAAGCAAAGTAATAAAATATTTGATTGGGAGGATAATTATCCTTTGTAACATTTCCCCTTAATTATCCGTCAATGTATTATATATGATCTCGTTAAAAACTCAATGTCATAGAAAAATCCAATAAGATAAAAACTATGACTTAGAAAAAGAGTACCGTAGCATAATCTCCCCCTGGAAAAGATATATAATATTTTCTTTTCACAAGTTTTGTTGACGACGCATTCCGATGCTATGAACATGCTTCTTGAACACTGAAGTAGGAAGGCCTTTGTAAAAAGATCGGCTGCATTGTCACTTGAACGAATATACTCGATGTCCACTTCTTGATTTTTCTGGAGTTCTTGAGTGTATGAGAAAAATCTTGGAGGAATATGCTTCGTTCTGTCACTCTTGATATAACCTTCTTTGAGTTGTGTGACACATGCAGAATTGTCTTCAAATATTTTTGTTGGCTCTTTCTCTGTGACTATTCCACTTGATTCTTGTATGTGATGAGTCATAGACCGGAGCCACACACACTCTCTACATGCTTCATGGAGAGCAATAGTTTCTGCATAATTTGAAGACGTTGCAACCAAAGTTTGCTTTTGCGAACGCCAGGAGACCGCGGTTCCACCAATTGTGAAAACATAACCTGTTTGTGATCTAGCTTTGTGTGGATCTGATAGATATCCTGCATCAGCAAAACCAACTAAAACACATTTTGAGTTCTTAGGATAAAATAATCCTAAATCAATTGATCCTTGAAGATAACGAAAAATATGTTTTATTCCATTCCAATGTCTGCGCATAGGGGATGAACTATATCTTGCAAGCAGATTAGTAGCAAACGTTATCCTCACAAGGACGGAATGGATCTTTTTCAACATCAAGGGATCTATTAACCATTGGAGTACTCAAAGGAGTTGCTTTATCCATATAAAAGCGTTTTAACACTCTTTTAGTGTAATTTGACTGATGCACAAATATTCCATCTTGGAAATGCTCTATCTGGAGCCCAAGACAAAACTTTGTCTTTCCAAGATCTTTCATTTCAAACTCTTCTTTCATATGAGTTCTTGCATCATCAATTTCCTTTTGAGTTCCAATCATGTTCAGGTCATCTACATATACAGCAATAATCACAAATCCTGAAGAGGATTTCTTAATGAATACGCAAGGGCATATCGCATTGTTGACGTAATCTTTACTCAACAAATATTCACTTAAGCGATTATACCACATGCGTCCGGACTGTTTTAGTCCATAAAGTGATCGCTATAATCTGACCGAACAGATCTCCTTAGCCTTTGATTTCAAATCTCAGCATTTTTAATCCTTCTGGGATTTTCATATATATCTCATTTTCAAGAGATCCATATAGATATGCTGTCACAACATCCATGAGATACATTTCAAGATTTTGAGACGCTGCTAAGCTCATCAAAAATCTGAATGTTATGGCATCCATTACCGGGGAATATGTTTCTTCATAATCAATTCCCGGTCTTTGAGAAAAACCTTGAGCCACAAGTCGGGCTTTATATCTTGTGACCTCATTTTTCTCATTTCTTTTTCTTACAAAAACCCATTTGTGCCCGACGGGTTTTGTATTCTCAGGAGTTGTGACAATAGGTCCAAAAACACTTCTTTTATTGAGGGAGAGTAATTCAGCTTGGATGGCCATTTTCCATTTCTCCCAATCAGGTCTTTTCAGACACTCTGATATTGTTTCTGGATCTGGATCATCACTTTCATGATCAATTTCTTTGTATACAGAAAAAGAGAATATTCCATCATCATCTTCTATTTCATTTCTTATCCATACTTTTCCATTTTGGGCTAAGTTGATGGAGATCTCAAAATTTTCTGTATCAGGTTTGTCTTCTGGATGAATCTCTTTTTCTGGTTCTTCAAAAACCATTTTGTTTATGTCTTTTGGACATAACTCTTTACAAGGTTCTTATGTAACCTTTTCTCCCAAATTCTTTTTCTTTCGGGGATTTTTTATTTTTAGAGCCCATTGGCCTCCCCCTCTTTTATTGGACTTTGGGTGCATTTGCTATGCTTCCATCATTTTGTTCTTTAGGAACATCTATCACTGATGGAACGTTTGCAGCGGATATATATGATTTAGTCACTCTTTTTGTATCTGTGAATTAATCTGGTAATTGATTTGCCATATTTTGTAAATGTATAATTTGCTGAACTTCCAATTCGCGTTGTTTCATTGGGGATCAAAGTGTAACAAATTCAGTGTACACCATGTGAGGTCTTTTGGAACCTCTTTAATTTCTCCCCCTAACGCTGAAAATTCATCTTCATTAAAATGGCAATCGGAAAACATGCCGTAAACATATCACCAGTTTGAGGTTCAAGATACCGAATAATACTCGGTGACTTATACCCAACGTATATTCCCAATCTCCTTTGTGGCCCCATTTTTGTTCTTTGTGGCGGTGCAATCGGAACATAAACCGCACAACAAAAAACACGGAAATGGGATACGTTTGGCTCATGACCAATTGCTAATTGTAATGGGGAATATGCATTATATACACTTGAACGTATTTGGAGCAACACTGCAGCATGCAAAATAGCATAACCCCATACTGAAATCAGTGGCAGAGCTAGAAAGTTTTTTAACATGGGTCAAATTGATATCATTCATATGTTAGAGGGGCCAATGAACTAAATATGTATCATTTCATAGTTAAAATACCTATGATTTTTTTTTTTAATCCACAATGGGTCAAGTGACCCACCTCCCAATGAGCTAGCTCCGCCACTGACTGAAATTGGGAGTTTTGTTCTCATTATTAACGGTCTTGCAATAAGTTGCAACCGTTTAATCAAAGACTCAGCCATGCCATTTTGTGTATGAACATGGAACCGGATGCTCAACATCGATTCCCAATGACATGCAATAGTCATTAAAGGCTTGTGAAGTGAATTCACCAGCGTTATCTAATCTCACTTTCTTAATAGTATAATCAGGGAACTGTGCTCTCAAACTGATTATTTGGGCAATGAATCTCGCGAAAACCGTATTTCGTGTTGTCAAAAGACACACATGTGATCATCTACTTGATGCGTCAATTAATACCATAAAGTATTGAAACGGTCCACATGGTGGGTGAATAGGCCCACATATATCACCATGTATCCTCTCTAAGAATACAAGGGATTCATTCCCAACTTTTGCTGGTGATGGCCGAGTTATGAGTTTTCCTTGAGAACATGCATTACATATGAACTCGCCTGTTTCTAAAATTTTCCCGTATTTTGACGGATCGCCATTTGAGGTTCGCACAATTTTTCTCATCATGACTGAACCTGGATGCCCTAGCCCTTCATGCCAGATTTTGAATGTACTAGTAAACTTCGGGTTTACTGTAACATATGATTCAGTCAGAGTAATATTTGTGCAATATAATCCGGAGGACATCATTTTCAATTCTTCCAATATTTGTCCCTCCGATTTGATGCAAAGGATTTCAATGCCATTCTTATTTATAGTCTCTATGTGATTACATTTTTGCGGATATCTTTGAAACTCAATAAGTTTCTGTAAGACTTGGGGGAATATAATGCATCATTTATTTCAAACTTTGTTCCTCTTAGAATTGAAAAACTGGCTCTTCCAGAGCCCAAAATAATTTTTGCACCACCAGAAATGGTATTCACGCTTTCAGCGGAATCTTTAATTTTGAGACCGGAGAAATATCTTTTATCTTTGAGTATTGTGTGCGTTGTAGCACTGTCTGCTGATGTGAGTCAGGTTTTACCAAACTCTTTAGACCTCTGCAAGTGCACAGATCGCGGAAGTATGGGTATCGAACACAAGGACTGGCTATTGAGTACACTTTGAAACTATGGATTTTGGATCAAGCTAAAACAAAAGTATGATTGGAGGTTGTAATTGTAACTAGAACTAGCAAGTAAATAGGTTGTAAATCAATAAGGGAAGAAGCGCTAGGTCAACAGGGGCTAATCGCAGAGAAGCAAGCAATGATCAATGAAACAATGATAGATGAATTGATGTAGGGATATTGGGATATTAAAACCGTCTAGAACACAGATCACGAATATAAAACCATTCCACTTTCGAGGCTCCGGTTCCTTTGTTAATCTACCTAGTCGCTAAACTTTTGGTATGTCTCTAGGTGATTAAATCAAGCATTAGATCGAGCAGGTTCGATACAGTTCACTAGGTTATAGTAAATCAACTTTCGCAGTCTAAGAAACCTAGCTTGTCAAAGAATATGTCCGGCGAATGATACAACACTTTCGAGGCTCAAGTCAACCTAAGATCGGATTACTAGATGCGCGGTAAAGCAATCAGCATTAGTTAAGTGAACAAGACGAGACAAAGACTCTAAGATAATCCCTAGCTAAACATCGAAATCAAAGATCATGCAAGCAACTCATTGATTAGTAACCCTAGCAACCTAACTAGTGGATTACTCAGACATGATCAAAGCAATAACACATAGAGATGAAGAAACATGATTGAATAAATCTCTAAGTAAAGAAAAACGTGATACAATGCGGCTCTCTCTCTCAAGAGGCTAAAAAGTTGTATTTATAGTACTAGGTCTTCAGAGGCGGCATTAGGTTAAGTCGGGCCGTGAAAACGTGTCAAAACGGGCTTCGGGTCGACCGGACTGTTCGGACGTCGGTCGGGACGATCGGCCGGCTATCGGGTCGTGGTCGGCTATCGGCACAGTCGGGACGATCGTGGCCGAGAGTTTTCGCGTTCGGCCGTCGGGGTCGGACGGATGGATGATTTGGCCGAAGGTTCTGGACCGGTTGTGGGACGAACCCTTCCTGGTCGACGGTTGGATTGGCTGCGGGACGTGATGTATGCCGCGCGGCCGCGAGACAATGCTTCCCGGTTCGCACTGCGCGGTCGTGCGCGGCTTATGGTGGCGAGGCTGAAACGGCTCGACCACGGGACGATGCTTCCCGGGTCGGTACGTGAGCTCGGCCATGCACTTGGCGGGATGGCACGCATGTTTTGCGTGGGACGTTCGCGGTACGTTCGTTTGCGCGGTTTAGTACGCGAATGCTCGATAAGGCCGTCTGGACCAGTCTTCACTAATTTGATCATAACTTCATTTCTACTATCCAAATGATGCCAATCCAATTGCGTTGGAAAGTTAACTCACTCAGAGCACGCAGGGAACTTCTCAAAGTTGATGCTTTGGTATGGAGCGGCTTGAAGCGCCAATCCTATGGTTTTGCTCCAAAATGCATCATTTCACTAGTCGTGGTTCTATTTCTCTAAGATCAGATTACTAGATGTACGGTAGAGTAATCATGCATTAAGCTCAAGTAAAGGTGAAGATCCATAAGATAAATCCCAATAAGTTGCAACACAATCAAATCATCACGGCCACCATAGATCTCCTCGGCCTAACTAAGAGATCTACTCGGCCATGATGCAAACAAGCAAGCAAAGCATGATTGTAAACATTATGCAAGTATTAAAAGAGATAAAGGGATGAAGAAAGCTTCTCTATTGATGAACAAAGTCGGATTCTCCCTTGAAAACTCTTAAGATCAAGTTTATAGAAATGGAAACAATGAAAAAGAAAGAACAAGAGTTGAGCGGCGCCTCCTTCTTCTTGGACGATCTCCTAGGGCTTCTCTTCTCTTCTCTCTCTTCTCACACGTGAACTCTTTGATAATTTTCGGACTGGACTCTTTCTCTTCTTCAGCGGCTAAAAACATGTATATATGGGCGAAGTCGCGTAGGGTTTTCTTCATGCCGGAAAAGGAAAGTTTCCCGCGAGCAAAGCCTTCTTCTCCACGTCGTGTATGGGCCGACATTGTACCAAGGAAAGCTCCAAACATTAGCCAGGCCTCTTCTCTATTCGATCAAGGCCTTTGGCGCTGCTGCTCGGGCCATTAGACACTCCAAATCCTCCATGGGCTTCGTTTGCTCGCTTACCGGACATGTCTCGGTAGAAAATAAGTCTAGGCCTCATAGTTGATCCAAATGGCTTCATTCCACTTCGACGTGATGCATGACTCAAGTATCTATCTTTCCATATCAAGATCGTAACTTTTGGACGTCGGGAACTCCTCCGCGCGCGGCCAAACTTCCGAAGCTTCGTTCTGCGCGCAAGCGAGAACTAACACTTGGAGATAAAATGGTCTTCTTGACTTGGAAACTTGCATGGATCTTGATTTAGGGCTCTTTTGCTCCTTTTTGCATCCTTTTTGATTATTTCTCCATCAATGGCAATCGTGAATGCCATTGATACTTGAAGTTATCACAAACTTCCCCGGATCTTCTTGTTTTTGTAGTGGCTTGCCTTCAAGTCTTCTCTTGTAAGCTCTTCTTGATTCCCAACTGTATCTCTCCGGTTTGTGCCTCTCCTTAGGCTCATTTTCTTCTTCTTCCCCTTGAGATAGTGTAGGAACAATTGTGCCATCTATAGATGAGACAACACTACAAAATTTTTGAGTGTTTACCTCATTTTGTTTCTTGGCCGCCTCGGCTGTTTGAGCGATTTGCACCTCAAGCTTTTGAACGTGAGTAGAGAGAGACCCAAACTTGCTGCTTAGATCACCAAACATGTGATCAAGCTTCTCATATAGGTTCTTGGTGATCAATCTCTGCTCCTCCATGTATTTCTTCAACGCCACGTCAACCTTCTCTCCGGTTTGGGTTGGATTTGTTTCTTGAGAAAAAGTGAATGGTTGCTTCACTTGGTACATCCCTCTTGGATAGACTTGTTGTGGCTTGGATTGGTATTGGCCTCCTTGGTACGCTCCTTGATTGGGGTAGACTTGGTCATTTGGATTCTCCACATTGTTGCTCCGGTATGATAGGTTTGGATGCGCGCGAAATGGTGGATTGAATCCTCTATTCCCATAGTTTCCTCCAATGTAGTTGACTTCCTCTAGATTCTCTTCAGCGCCATCTCTCATGAAATCCATAAGAGTGTCTTCATTTGTGGCTAGGGCATCTTCAATGGCGTGAACTCCTTGCCGGCTTTTAAGTAGTTGTGAAACCATGTTCCTTAGCTCCGAGATTTGAGCTGATTCTGATGAGCTCGTGGTCTTCACGCTTCTATTGTAGTCAGGGCATGCATTGGCATCACTAGCAGCGAGATTCTCAATCAAAAGCTTTGCCTCCGGCACCGACTTGGTCATGAAATTACCATTGCTCGCGGTATCGAGAGAAAGCTTGTATTTATGATCAATCCCATTGTAAAAGATGTTCCAAAGGTTACCTTCTGAAAAGCCATGGTTAGGGCAGCTTCTTGTGTACTCCTTGAATCTCTCCAAAGCTTCATAGAATGACTCCATTGAATCTTGCTTGAAACCAGAAATCTTGCTCCTTATAGAGTTGGATCTTTGCTTAGTGTAGAATTGGTTCAAGAAAGCTCCCTTGTATTCATTCCATGTTGTAATGGACTGAGGTGGTAAAGATTTTACCCATCTTAGCGCCTTGTCACTTAGAGAAAAAGTGAATAGCTTGCACTTGAAGTAATCCGGCGATACTCCATTAACACGAGTTGTGCTACATATCTCCTCAAAGGTGTCGACGTGATCAAGAGGATGCTCAGTGGGCAAACCATGGAATTGGTTTTGCTTCACCAAGGCAATGATCTGCGGTTTGATCTCAAAATCGTTCCTTGGAGGTAGAGGCGGTCGGATTGGATTCCGATCCATAAAGAAAGCATCGGACGAATCAAAGTCTCCCATAGTTTGGTGCCTTGGATGCTGCGCGTTTGGCACTCTCCTTGGAGGTGCGTGAGGTTGGTCTTGAGGCATCCCTTGGTTGTCACCGTGACGATGATGTCCATTTGCAAACGCCGGTGGTGGTCGCGGCGGGTTAAGAGGTGGCTGTAGCGGCTCAGCTGCATCGGGCGCGTTCGGATTGGGTGGAGGAACGTCTCTGGCCGGTGCTGGCTGGTCAGCTCTAGCTTCTGCTGGATTAGGAGGATCATTGGCTCTCCTCTCTTGGTCGGGCGGGTTGTGTGGCCTATTTGGCGCGCCTTCTCCGCCTGGATTCATTCTTTCTCTCCTTAGTCGCCTAAGTGTGCGCTCAAGTTGGTCAATGTCAAGATCTTCTTCAATGGTTGTATTTGGATTGGACCTTCTTGTCATGCACCTTAGAAACACACAAAGAGAGAGTTAAGTAAAATTTTTATGAGTTTTTAAGATTTTATGAAAAACAAAAACAAAGAAAAGTGAAAGATGAGATGAGCTAGTCTTGAAATCAATCAAGAGGTGTGAAGGAAAAGCAACTCCTCCCCGGCAACGGCGCCAGAAAGCTTGATGGCGGGTTTAGATTGCCTCAAATTTTCACAATTTATAAACCCAACTAATGAGCTGCAAGTGCACAGCCGTGTTGTAGTCGGGGTCGAACACGAGGAGGAAGTGTTCTCACTTAACACCTTGTGAGATTGGTTTGTAGCTAGCTCGCAATATGAGGTGGTTTTGGACCTAGAATGAGAAAAAACAAAAGAAATGTGAGTGAGTTGTAAACAATTTAAAACAAGAGTTAGGCAAAGGACAATCATATGGAGCAATGATGAAAAGATAGTTGCATGGGATGTGTGTAGAGCCGTCTTGAACATGAATCACTAGTGTATGGTCTTTCCACTGTCGTGGCTCCAACCACTATGTTTAAAACAACCTAATATACTCAGCTTTCGTTGGCTATTAGAATTGCAAACATGCATTACAAGGTTCAAGATTCAATTGTTCACAATAAACCATAACTCAGCTTTCGTTGGCTATGATCTATTGCTCACCAAATACTAGTTTTGAGATCTAGATTCAGCACTGTCGTGGTTCTATTTCTCTAAGATCAGATTACTAGATGTACGGTAGAGTAATCATGCATTAAGCTCAAGTAAAGGTGAAGATCCATAAGATAAATCCCAATAAGTTGCAACACAATCAAATCATCACGGCCACCATAGATCTCCTCGGCCTAACTAAGAGATCTACTCGGCCATGATGCAAACAAGCAAGCAAAGCATGATTGTAAACATTATGCAAGTATTAAAAGAGATAAAGGGATGAAGAAAGCTTCTCTATTGATGAACAAAGTCGGATTCTCCCTTGAAAACTCTTAAGATCAAGTTTATAGAAATGGAAACAATGAAAAAGAAAGAACAAGAGTTGAGCGGCGCCTCCTTCTTCTTGGACGATCTCCTAGGGCTTCTCTTCTCTTCTCTCTCTTCTCACACGTAACTCTTTGATAATTTTCGGACTGGACTCTCTCTTCTTCAGCGGCTAAAAACATGTATATATGGGCGAAGTCGCGTAGGGTTTTCTTCATGCCGGAAAAGGAAAGTTTCCCGCGAGCAAAGCCTTCTTCTCCACGTCGTGTATGGGCCGACATTGTACCAAGGAAAGCTCCAAACATTAGCCAGGCCTCTTCTCTATTCGATCAAGGCCTTTGGCGCTGCTGCTCGGGCCATTAGACACTCCAAATCCTCCATGGGCTTCGTTTACTCGCTTACCGGACATGTCTCGGTAGAAAATAAGTCTAGGCCTCATAGTTGATCCAAATGGCTTCATTCCACTTCGACGTGATGCATGACTCAAGTATCTATCTTTCCATATCAAGATCGTAACTTTTGGACGTCGGGAACTCCTCCGCGCGCGGCCAAACTTCCGAAGCTTCGTTCTGCGCGCAAGCGAGAACTAACACTTGGAGATAAAATGATCTTCTTGACTTGGAAACTTGCATGGATCTTGATTTAGGGCTCTTTTACTCCTTTTTGCATCCTTTTTGATTATTTCACCTACAAAGACTTCAAATCCCACAAATACAAGAAAACTACCTCTAAAGGCAAAGAATCTTGCAAAAACCGTTTGAAAACATAGTAATTATATAGTAAAATCATGTAAAACCTAGACCCAAAATCCTAAACTGTGCCGACTCAAAATGTCCGTATTCGATTAATTTTGGGTACAGAGCAAATCACCCATTTGATTAATATTGGATAATACATGAACCGAACCGTGCTCGAATTATGCTCGAATTATGAATATTATAAATTACTTTTGATATTATAAATATAATATTTTTATGTTTATTACTTTTTTCATATTTTCGGATATATTTCCAGTATTTCCAAAATTATGGCGACTGATAAGTGTATATATCAACAAATTACACCACAAAGCACAATTTGAAATTAAGTCATATTCGCTCACAATATACCTGAAGAAGACTTTTAAACGGATTAAACCCAAAAATTATTTATTAATGAAACTATTGTGATATAGCCAAACCTTCTCATTGATTCAGAGGTTCGATCTTAAAATCTGAGTCAGAACCCTGTGACCGACACAGAAGGTCCAAATCTTTGCAATTAGAACCGAAACCTCTCAGATCTCTAATCACCTCTGATTCATTTTCCGAGAAAACTCGAGATCGAATATTTTCCCAGATCGTTGTAGATGAACTGAAGATCGCACCGCAATCGAATCTAATCGGAAGTAGGAGACTCAATTTTGCATTCTAGCGATGGCTCCGACGCGGGTTTTAATCAGAGACGAAGAGCTTGGAGCGATATCGGACTACGACGACTCTCTGTCGGGAAAGCGATCTAAGGATATTCGTTCTTCGACTGTTATGTATATGCTTCTTCCAAAACTCAATAAGAGTCTAATTTTTCGTTGATTTGTAGCGAGTCATGAATGTGGTTTTATATTCTGGTTGTGTAACCTCGTATAAGTTTTGTGGATGTGTCAGCGACACTTTGATTGAGCAGGGGATGAATGGAACTTCTGTGGCAGAGATATTTGTGCATCACCGAGATAGTTTCTTTAGAGGAAAGGAGGTTAGTTTTGTGATCATTGGGACTGGTTCTTTGTTTCAAGATCATTGTGTTTGCTTACTGCGTTTCATTGCAAGTATTCTGATATAAAAAAAAATCTTTGTTTTAGACTGATGCACTAAATAAGCTCTCCTTGATGTATCAAGTTGTTGTTTCCACCGGTGGAGGTGCAGTTATAACTTATAAGACCCATTAACTGGTGTGTTCTCTCTCTTCTTCGCTTCCGAAGTAAATCATATGAAACTCTGGTGGTCTCTGTTGATTTCATTTCGTAATGTGATGATATTGTTAGGAAGTATATGCATAAAGGAATCAGTATTTGGCTGGATGTGCCTCTAGAAGCCTTAGCTCATAAAATCGCTGCTGTTGGAACTAATTCAAGACCATTGTTACACGATGATTCAGGAGATGCTTGCACTGTGGTACTCATCTAACAATAGTACACGATGATTCAAGAGTTTTTTTTTTTTTTCCGGGTTTGTGATGATGAATGAATTACATGCAGGCTTTCAAGCATCTTTTGAGTATTTGGGATGAGCGTGGTGAAGCATACACAAACGCAAATGCCAGAGTCTCCTTAGAAAGTATGTCTTCTTCATCCATCTGCTATAACCTTTGTTCAATAAATGCTTAGAAATTGTTCTCTTACTACTTCTGCTTGTACTTCGATTGACAGATATTGCAGCCAAGTGTGGCTATAAAGATGTTTCAGATCTCACACCAACTGAAATCGGCATTGGGGTAAGTCATCTCCTTTCTATGTTTCTTCATCGTTAATCTGTTCAATCAAACTCACACAAAGCAAATGATTCATCATCAGGCTTTTGAGCAAGTTCAGAGCTTTCTAGACAAAGAAGAAACTATGGAGATCCCCGAGCAGAAGGAAGTGAGCCGCGGCAACGACGACCACGTGACGGCGATTTGTTCCCAAAGCGAAACGAAGGAAAGACGAAACGAAACTTTGATTTCGATTTGTTTGTTTTTTCTTTTAATTTTTCTTTTAGTAGAGGAGATGCCAGGTGTCACTCATATGGAGAGAGTTATCCTCTCATTATATATAAGATTAAACAGTACAAAGCTTATATCACAAGATACAAAATACCACATTAAAAACTATTTTACAACAAAAAGATCAAACTTTTAGGTTATCTTATTCAGGAAGATAACTATGTATATCATGTCCTTTTAGTCGTCTGTTTTTCCGTTGATCTCTTCGGAGTCAACCAGAAAATCTGAAACATCAAGATGAGTATCATCGTTTAGGCCGTGAAAGGAAGGACCGGGTTCATTGGAGATGAAGTTAGTCTCACTTTCTTTCTCCTTTGCTTTTTGTGATTCCCGGTACAGATCGGCTAAGTGTCTGGGTGTACGACAAGTACGCTCCCAGTGATTTTTCATGCCGCATCTGTAGCAAACACTTTCTTTTTGCTTTTTAGAATCTCGGCCGTAATCATTTGCTCGAGATCTTTTATATTCCTTTCATTGTTGGACTCGTCGGGACGGTACTCTTTTCCTTGTCCCCGACCACGTCCACGGCCACGGCCACGACCTCGGTTTCGACCATATCCACGTCCACGTCCTCGTCCATTATTTTGGCTGGACGATGCTACATTCGCTTCTGGGAATGGAGCAGCTCCAGTGGGACGAGTCTGATGGTTCATCATCACAAGCTCGTTATTCTGTTCTGCAACAAGGAGAACATCCATCAATTTTGAATAACGAGTATAGCCATTTGCCCGATATTGTTGTTGCAGGACTATATTTCCAGGGTGAAATGTGGAGAGCGTTTTTTCAATCATATCATAATCGCTCACATTTTCTCCACATAGCACCATCTTGGAAATTATTCTGAACATAGCAGAATTATATTCAACAACACTTTTATAGTCCTGAAACCGGAGGTATAGCCACTGGTATTTGGCTTTGGGCAAATCTATATATTTTTGATGGTCAAATCTTTCTTTCAAAGATTGCCAAAGATCCGCAGGATCTTCTTTAGTGATGTATTCATCTTTTAAACCATCGTGGATGTGATGAAGTAGAAAGATCATGGCTTTCGCCTTTTTCTCATCGGATGTCTCTTTCGACTTGTCAATGGCATCAAGAAGCCCATTTCCTTTTAGATGCATTTTTGCACCTATTGCCCATGTCATATAATTGTTTCCAGAAATATCAAGGGCGGAAATTTCGAGCTTAGCCAAATTTGACATGATATCTGCATAGATCATAGATCAGTTCATTAAGGCTCCGAATGGAGAAAGCGGATCAAGCGTTGCGGATCGAGCGGACCAAGCGGATTGAGCGTAACAAAAGCGGAACTAGCGGATTAGGCGTTTCAAGTGCGGATCAAGCGGATCTAGCGGTCCAAAAGTATGTTTGAATGAAAAAACCGGATATAAAACGGTTCAAAACACTGTACATATTTATAATAACTATATAAAATATATATATTTTTTATTACTAAAGGTATTAAAACTAAGAAAGTTTAATTTCTAAATACACATATAACTATATTTTTGATACACTTAGATATATAATTTGTAAATATATTATCTTGAGACAATTTTGATTGGTCAATAGTGCTACTTTTTTGTTTACTTCAATATTTTCAATAAGATAAACATTAAGTTTATTTGATGTTTTAGTAATTATTATGTATATATGAAAAAATATACTATATATAGTCATATCTCAAATATTGTAAAAATAAATAAATTAAAATGAAATATACTGGTAAAGAACAAATTATATATAATTAAAAAAATTATTACTGTATATTAATTTTTATAAACTGTTTTTTAAAATATCAAGTTATAAATAGTTAAGCTACTTCCAAACCAATGGTAATTGGTTAAATTGATCTCTACTACTTCATTATTCATAGAAAATAATAAAACTAAAATTAAGAAATAATAATATTATGAACTACATGTGAAACACTCCAATTACCATGCATTTCTACTATTCAAGTGAATCATACACTTTTCTTCACATATTTGAACAACAAGCGGTTCATTAATATTTTATTATTTTAAAAAAGTAGTTCTTCCTCAATTGAATTAAAATGCTGAATGGGAAATGAAAATTGGTTCATCTACTTGGGATGAATGGTCCGCTGTAATTACGCTCTCCATTCAAGGCCTAAATATAAATTCAAATTCTTGCATAAAAAAATTGGGCATTATAACAGCATAAAAAATAGCAGAAATTTAGATAGCAAGAAAGTAAATAGCAGAAAAGGTAAATTATAGAAAAGTAAATATCCAGGGAGGAGGCAAAGCCTCTACTCCAAGAGGAGGTTTTCACCATCAACTCTTATATGATCTAAGGTGACATAGTCTATCATATGACCATTTGCTCGGAGTAGGTATAACCTAGCATCTCGGCTTAAGAAATGATTTTTCGATTGTGGAGGCAAAGCTTACCATAACAATCGGCTCGGAGAAGGCATAGCCTATCATTCCGGCATAGCATATAAACAATAAAATGAAAAATAGACAGAATATAAGAACAATTCGTGTTTGATAATGTGATATAAATAAACTGAAACTGTACCAATATATTTTTGATATAATGGATTGATAAATAAAAGAACAAGAAAATGTGATACAGAGGGAGAGAAAGAGATTTACGAGAGGGATGGTGGTGGTCGTAGGTGAGAGAGAGTCTTATGAGAGAAAGGAGAGAGTGAAGTTTCCTGGAGAGTATTGGAGAATATTGAAGTGTTTATTGTATTGAACTTATGTTACAGCAAGTAATAAGTAACAAGTACAAGTATTTATAGGCAGCCAAAATCATTAAAGAAATCAAGTCGGTAACTTGATGGCGGTGAAGGAAAACTTTCACTATAAGCAAAGTAATAAAATATTTGATTTGGAGGATAATTATCCTTTCTAAAAATGAATAATTAAATCGAAAAAGTCAACAAGATATACGAGGAATAGAAACCATGTTAATTATTTTGCAATATTAGCTCTTCTTCTCTTTTTTTTTTTTTTTTTTTTCCAAAGTTTTGATATATTATTAAAAGGCCATACACACCGTCACATAGTTTTTAAAGTTAAAACAGAGATTGAGAAAAGCTTAGAATACAATGAATGCATCAATTACAATCGAATCTTCCGCTTCGATCGACTCTTGAAATCGGGATGGTGGGTAACACTAGCTACGACCACCACGTCCTCGGTTTCCTCGCCCACGTCCTTTTACCTCCAAATATTCTTTGTGGCTTTTGCCGATGGTTTTACTGGCCTGTCTCTAATAATTCTTTTACCCGGAGGTGTCAAAAGATCAACCGATTCTGGCTCAACGTCTGATTCAGATGAATCTTCTTCTCCTCCAGAAAAAAAAAAATCAAAGAGGCAAACCGATTACCAAGACAAATGTCATCTTGCGTACCTTCTTTACGAGTAGTGGCATGAGCATGGGCAGAGACAGTGGTTAACGCAAGTGCAGGAGTCTCCGTAATTGGAGAGTCAGTAAAAACATATTGAGTGATAGAGTTGAGCTCACTTGGATGTGATTTAATAGCAGGAGCCTCCTGGAGAGAGATGAAGCTAAAGTGATTGATACCTCCCCAACTTTGGGATCGTTAGATGGAGTATCACTTGTTTTACAGTGAACTGCCTCAGAACTTGTAGCGTGGACTGAAGCTGGAGATCTATGTGCAGTAATTGGAGCAGAGAGAGGAACATTCGAGCTAGGCACATTGCTTTCCTTTGATACAGGTTTCAAGCGGTGTTTGATCTTATGTCCCAGCTCCCCACAACGACTACACTTTGTAGGTAGCCAAGCGTATTCTACATCCACCATAGATATAAATCCTTGGGTTAATTTGCTCACTAACAATATTGGAGTTCATAATAAAGAATATAGCCATACTCTTTTCAAAATAAAGTTATTTACTTTTTACCCTTATACTAGAGAAATAAGATCATGTTCTCTGTACTAGATTTATCAATTTTCTATACTATTTGTTTGTATAGACTAAAAGTAAAGTATAACGGATTTGATACGATCACGATACATAGAAATAAGATGGGTCAAAACTTAGATGTTAACCTGATGAGGTTGATAATTAAAAGTGAATTAGAGAAAAGAACCAAACCCAAAAACCCCATATACAAACTCTAAACCCAAAAATCTAAACCCTAAATAAATGAAAAACTAAACCCTAAATCCAAAAAGCTGAACCCAAAATCCAAAACATAAACCCTAAACCCAAAAAAACCAAACCTTAAATCCAAAATATAACCCCTAAACCAAAAAAAAAACTAAACCCGAAACCCAAAATATTAATTATAAACCAAAAGTAAACTCTAAATCCAAACATTATAAACCCTAATTTAGTGAAAAAAACCCATAAACCCAAAATCTAAGTACCTAAAAAACTAAACAATAAATCTAAATTATGTTTTATACTATAAGAGGAAAAATAGTATAGACAATCATATGTATATTGAGAATATCATCCTATTTCTCTGTTATAATTGTTATCGTTTCAATCACCTTATCAGATTTGATCACCATTGGTTTGTGTAACATTAAACAGTTGACCCGATTATAGAATCACTTATCCCTTTTTTTGACTAAATTACTTTGTTACATGATTAAAGAAAGGTGGAAGTTATAACTCATCAAATCATATAATTTGGTTGGGGAAAAGATGCCGAGAAGAGACAACAGCCATAAAACACGAAATCTGAAACATTCGTGATAGAAGAAGAAAGAAGTCAGAAACATTAGGAGAGAAGAAGAAAGAGAAAGAAAAGAGAGAAGAGAGAGAAAGTGTTAGGGACAATTTGGTATATATTTCATAAAGTACAAAAATATCATAGCCATGAATTTGCTATAGTTACTTTCTTAATTACACCCTGTAATATTGTCATTCAATGCAATTTCCCTAAATCCTTTTACATCACTAGCAGCAATTTTTGGAGGGAAAGCCTTGCTCAACTCTACCTCAACCAAGATTTTTGCCTCACCCATGTGAACAGTATCTAAAATAGGCTTATAAGTTGCCATTAGCTCTTCGTGTGAAGTTGTTTCACATATCATCGATTCATCGTATTGTGACAAACTGACAATATCATAAGTTATAGTGGAGGAGTTTCTTACTATAGAACTAAACCTTTTTTTATTTCACAAATATCTGTTTGTACAAGAGTTTTTTTGTCTTCTTTTGTTTTTTGTTTTTTCAGGAAAAGCTCCACATATTCGTAGGTGCAACATTGAAGAAGGAAGAAGCATCCCTTTCCAATGCAAAAAAAAAAAAAAAAAAAAAAAAAAACTATCACCTATAATCATCTTTCCCCCATACCCTGAACAAATAAACCCAAAAAGACGCCCAAGAAAAGGAGAAACATGTCCGGAAAATAGAGATATATGCACATTATATGAGCTAGTTAGCCAGCAAATCCTGGACTGCATCCCTCATATCCTCATACACATAACAGCTTCCAAGGAATTCCGAAATTTTCAGAAGTTCTTGATCTCTCAAGTCATCAACAAAAGCCTTTATGGGTACTCCATTCTCTGGGTGTAACGAGTAAGCAAATGGATTGTCATCAACAATCAAAGCACTTCCAAGGTCTTTCCCCACTACCAAAGATAAGTCCTTTACATATTTTCCATTCACTTCCGTGCAAGAGTCTCGATATAGCCGCTGTGAGATCACACCTTTCTTGTCTAGCTTGTCCAGAACCTGTGAAGCATAATCCTCCAGACCAGCTGTGAAAACTATGACATTGTAGTTTTCACCAAGTCTTTCCAAGAACTCAGTCACGCCAGGACGTTTCACCACAAAGATTGGCATAATCTCCCTTTCCATTTTCACCATCACCATGAAATCATATCTAACTCCCGGCAGTTGCGTCGTAGAGTGAACCAACGTTTCATCAAGATCGAGGATGATTGTCCTTTTCTTGTTATTATATTCTGTCTGAGGGTCTTCAACTTTTGTATAGTCGTGTATTGTGGCTGGATAGCAGATGGTGGTGGCAGTAAAGCACCTGGAAACACAACGCAGAAGGCGACAATGGAACTTCAGTATGGACATGACAGGGTAGTTTTTCTTTTGGTGTTTGTGGAATTTTGGATTTTCTGGGTTTGTTTCGATGATTCTTTCAGATACCATTGATTTCTTCCGGCTGATTGATTCTCGAACGATAAAAACAGGTTTTAAAGAACAAAACAAGCTTGTAACTATTCAGATGAAAAGGATTGATACTGTTAGTTGATTAAGATGTTCCTGAATTTATCTTCTGCTAACTTTTATACAATGATATCTACAATTCGTTTAGTTTTGTTTGTTTATGAGAATTTAGGGGTGAAGTAGAGCGGAAGCCTAATTTTAGTAAATTTCAGTTTGGACAATTAGAGCGCATAGTTTTATTGTTTCATGTACTAATGGATAACAATGCTTATACAACATGAACCAGCATGAATCAACGTTATAACGTTGGGTAAGATTTAGAGGTTTGGAGATTATAATGAGATTACAATTAAAGAATATTGCTGCTACACAAATGTGGCTTCGGTGTGCTGGTGAACTAGTTAAACTATAAAACCTGTTGGAATTTGTTTCCAACTTAATTAAAGGTGTTTCAGGTTTAACATAATAATTTTTACGATAACAATAAAAAATGAATTTAGAAAGGGTTAATCCAATAAGAATCACTCATTATCTTCATCTGTGTGTTCATCATTCTTAACAACTCTGTCGCTTTCTTTCTTCTCTTCTCCAAACCCAACTTGTAAAACCAACAAAACCTTCTGAAACGCTTCTAAACGCACCGATTCCTCAATGCTAACGCGTTCTCTGTTTTACACAGCTTCAACATCACTGACACTGAGCTATTCGTTTGAGTCAATGTAGTAATAGCGTTTGGGTTCAAGCTGGTGCAACAAATGGTGAACTTTACTACAGGTACTAATCTAGACCACGTTTGTTTCAAACGCTAATTTATGCGTTTGCATTAAAATAATTAATCTTTGATTTATATTTGATCAAGAAAATGTGTTTTTTTTTTACTTGTAGGATTGCAGAGAAGAGAAAAGATTATGTGTTTATGCACAAGCTTATGCATAGGTGGGCATGTAACAGGTGGTGGATATGGTTTCTTGATGCGCAAGTTTGGTCTTGCTGCAGACAACGTTCTAGACGCAAAGATCGTTGGTGCTAATGGTAGATTACTCAACAGAACCGCGATGGGCGGATCTGCTTTGGGCGATTAGAGTAGGCTCTGGAGGGAGTTTTGGGATAACTGTATCATGGAAAATCAAGTTTGTTCTCGTTCCTGAAACCCTAACTGTTTTTCACGGTCACAAAAACATTAGAGCAAGACCAAGGGTTTAAGATTCTTTCGAAGTGGCAACGAATTGCAGTCAAGCTTGTTGGAGAGCTCTTGATTCGAGTGTTGATCAAATTCGATTTTGGGAACAGGACAGTGACAACAACATACAAAGGTCAGTTTATTGGCGATAAAGGCACTTTAATGGAGATTATGAAGAAGGGTTTTCCGGAATTAGGGTTAGCTCAAGAGGACTGTATCGAAATGAGCTGGATCGAGTCCATTGTTTACCATGCTGAGTTCTCCGACTGAGGTTTTCTCTTGAAGCAAAATCATCTTACGGAAAAGCTTACTTCAAGTCAAAGTTTCGCTAAAGAGCTATTCCTGCTTTAGGTGAGGCCTCAAAGGAATGTTCAAGAGAATGATTGATAAGGAGACTAAGGAAACTGTTTTCTCCATCAAAAACGAATAGTATTCAACAGAAATCAAGAAATGGCAGCATCAAGAAAGAAATCAAAAGGGTTTGATCTTAGATAAGTGAATCTACTCTGTTTGCTTATCCTAAAACATCAAATACCCCAAAATCTATAACATTCATACCATAAAGAATACCCCAAAATCTATAACAACTCAACAGAGATCACATCAAAAGTTTAATAATGTAAATGCATATTCCCAATTGATTACTTTACAAGAACAAAATCACACACAAAGAAAATATTAAAATAAAATCACGAAATGTTTTGATCGTATATAAGCGTTTACCTACACAGTTTGTATCTCCTAGAACATCAAATGACAAATATGAGTCTAGCAAAAGAGGACTCAGTGTTGCAGTAAAGCAAGATAAATTTCATGACTTTTGTTTTGTTCATGAAGAACAAAAATATTGGTTATATGAGTAAAACAGCAGCACTGTGCAAACTGTGGACCTTAAGTACTCCCTCTATAATGCAAGATCAAGATAAAAGGAACTTCAAAATTACTTGTTATCAACTATTTCTTCAATATAGAAAAAAAAAAAAAAAGTCTTGATTCAACAGAAGATAATGATGCAAGAAACAAAAATAAAAGTATTGAAAATGGACTAATTAACTTGCACATGCACTAAACTTGGAACATAAGAAGAGCACACAAGTTTGCCACAATCAAAACGAGGGTTTGAAACTATTCCGGTGTTGACAGATTTGAAGGACCCATCTCCTCCAATAATGTAAGCCATTTGGTAGCGGAAGTTCGTAGCCCCGTCATAATCAAAAAGCACAGCGATTTTCTTCTCCTCGTCAATGAAAAAGCTACTAGGCTCACAGTCGAAAGAAAAACCATCAGGTAAACCATTGATTAGACTCAAATCCAGTTTCAGAAAACTGCTCCACGAGACCGCATTGAGCTCAATCTTAGTCGTTATCCAAATCTCTATGATCTCGGGAGTCTCGTAGTGGCTATATAAGACAGCGAGCTTCTCATCTCTAACCCAAGATAGACTCACACACTCAAAACAAGGATACGGAGGGTCAAACGGCAGAGGCAGACGCGGTCCAAAACTCTCTCTTGTAAAATCAAAACAGACTAAATAGTCTTCAATATCTGTTACAGTTTCTCCTTGATTTGGTACAACTATTCCTGTTGTTGTTACCTCTTGACCGAAAAAGTAAGTGTTTCCTTTTAAAGAAAGGCCGTTATGGTACTCTACATCCGTGCTGGGGTCGACGTCAAGAAACCTCCATGAATCAGAGCTAAAATCGTAGACATCGATGAGTATTTTGCTTGGACGGCCATCATTAACCAACCTCAAGATCTTGTGGTTACGGTCGTTGTCGTATCCGATGGCATACCTGTCACATATGTTCAACTTGTTTCTAGGTTGAACCAATCTGGTTTGCCCCAAATAAGGATTCCAAACAAAAAGCGTTAAGTGGTCTCTGGAAACGCATAACAATAAACCGTCGCAGTGAAAGACTTGAGATATCTCGACTTGATTATTATTAGGTATACTAGTTATTTGCTTGATAGAGAGATGATCAAGCAAATCTTGGTCGTCTTTGTTCTCGATTCCTTGGAGGTTGAATCGAAAGGAAGAAAGCGTAGAGTTTGTCATCATGAACTCCAGAAACTGACTCCTTGCTGCTGCTTTTTTCCCCAAAATCCGATTTTTCGTTAAATCGTTCCACTTTTTACAAGTAGATCGCACTAAGTGTAGAGATGTTAACGGAACCCTATAGAATATCTCCCCTATCAGAGCACCCGAAAGATCAGAAATCCTCTTCATTCTTCCTCAAGTTTCAGTCAAAACTTTTTTTCTGTATTTTCAGGCGGCGATGTCTCCTTTAATGTGTCAATGTCGAAACCCTAAACTGAAGAATCTCCTAATAACCTAATTCCTTTGACCATAAATCGCAGAAAATCCCAAACTTTGGGTTTCCAGTCGGCAAGAGAATTCATAGCTAAACCGAACCAAAATTTTAGTATACACTTTCGAACCGAACTAAACCAAAATTTAAATGATTTGAAGAAAAAACGATTCATTTCTGGCTTTGTAACTTTTAAGGTTACAGTTAGGCCTGGAAATTCGGATAACCGGTCGGATTCGGGTCGGTTAAATCGGGTTTCGGGTATTCGGGTTTGGAAATCTAGTAACCGTTCGGGTATTTGGTCGGGTTCGGGTCGGATTTGGGTTTGAAATTTCGGGTTCGGGTCGGTATTCGGGTTGCATCTAAAACCCGAGATTAAACCGAATTTTTTTCGGTTTCAGGTAATTGTCGGGTTTTCGGGTTTTTTAACCTGATTCCGCCGTCGCCAGCAACATCCCCAATGCCAAAAACTCTGAAACCCTAAATCTCAATGAATAATTTCATAGATCTCTTTTTATCAATAACACCTCTCCTCTCCCAGATCTAAAACCATTGTTATTTTCTCATCCCTGCATCATTATTTTCTATCCTCCTCCTCCTCTCCTCTGATTCCTTCTCCTTCGTCGATTTCTTCCTCTCATACTTCCACTCTGATCACTATTCCGACCTCTCCTTTTCATGGTGCAGAGGAATTATCTTCTGCTCTCACAAAACCGCTTGCCTCCTGAAGAAATCCTTCAAATCCCGTCACAAGATTGATGAAGAAAAAATTAAGGATACAAAGAAAAGGGTTTTAGTTCTTGTTGGAATTGAAGATTGTGTAAAAAGAAAGATTATTATAGAGATTGCAAAGAGATGCAAAAGGAAGATCTTTGTGGATTTGAGAAAATGTGGAGGAGGGAGGCGCTGTTTTTTTAGGAGGAGCTGTTTCTTAGGTTTTGGGTTTGGGTTATCGGTTATTAATTCGGTTATTGGGTATAAACCGAACCGAACCGAACCCGATCTCAAATCAAAATCAGAAACGATCGGTTAATATGGCAAACCCGAACCCGACTCGGGTCGGGTTTTTCGGGTCGGATGGGGGTTCGGTTATCGGCCCGGGTAAAAGTCGCGGGCCTAGTTACAGTGGAATGATGGAGAAAATCCTTGAATCAGTTCCTCATAGAAGCAGAACCTTGATTATATTTTGTATTACAGGAGCTGGTCATAGAGCGACAAGAGTCCGCGCACACATCAAATGGTTCATATAGATGTACAGTTACATGAAGCCTTGTGTCTCAAGCAATCCAAGACGATCATTCATATGTGAACTACAGAGATCATAATTAATTTTGATATCAGATCTTCGGATAACCTCAAGTCTGTGGAGCAAAGTACTTCAAAGACAATTTCAACATATTGGTGAAGATTAAATCAAAGGATGATCCAGAGGACTTATTAAGACATGAGCAAAGAGTCCAACACTGCTCATTCGAAGCTAAGCTAGAAGATTCTGACATGGAATCAATCACCAGCATGTTCTCAAGTAAATTCTCTAATCCCCTGGCACGGCCCCATGCTAAATTTTAAAACGCTATACTTAGTATTAGTCGAACACTCACATTGTTGATTCCTTAGTTGATGTGAGGTCTTAACCCGAATTCTCTCAAGAACTCTCTCTCGCTCTCGCTCTCGGTGTGTCTCTCTCTCTTTTTCTCTACCCCTTTCTCACTCTTAGCTCACGCCTTAAGTGTTTCCCGAGAAGTTTATATCCCTCTTATCCACAACCAGGATAAGATCTGAGTTCTCTTTCCGTCGATTTCCGATAGACTTATTCCGGCGGCGGTGGATTGAAAACAGAAAATGTTAAATCTGGAAAATCGAATCAGGTTATAATTTAACCGGAATTGTAATAACCGAAACCTTATAAAACTAATTTTACTTCACCTTGACAGAAGACAAGAAAAAATATAAATACGCCCAAAACTCGAAAGATATATATTATTCCAATCCCTAAGATCAAGAGATACAGTAGAAACTCTATAAATTAATACTTGATAAATTAATAAACACGATAAATTAATAAATTTCTTCGGTCCCGAGTTGGGCCGGTGTAAAATATGACACGATTCGATAAGATAATAAGATAATAATTTTTTAAAAACTCCTATGTAAAATATGGTCCCAATAATATCATAAATTAATAATTATCATATAAAAACTTATATATATACATATATATAACTAAGATATCTAGTTATTATAATTGAATCTCTCACATACCAAACATATATGGAAATTAAAAGAAAAAGGGAACTTTAAAAAATATGGCAAGTAAAAACATTTAAATAATAAAGTAAATATAGAAACATCAAACAAAAAAATTAAGAAAATATATGTATAAAGGAAAGTTTTTATTTAATTTGAATAAAACTTTAAAAAATTATCATTATTGAATTTTATTTTTCTGAATTTTATTTTTTAATGAAAATCTATATATTAATAATCTATAAATTAATAAAATATCAAAGTCCCTATATTATTAATTTATAGAGTTTCTACTGTATCTACTTTCAAACAAAGTCATGTACGAGATGGCTTAAGAAGGTTTGTCTGAAAAACGTAAATAAGACGCAGTGAAATTCTCGTGGAATCTCATGAATTACATGGTGACTCTGCCAATTTTTGTCACTAGATTAGATATTGAATCCTTTTACAACTGTCCTAATAAAGATTGAATAATTGACAAAGGCTTTTACCTGCGCACGCATGTGTATCTTAAATCGGTTTAAAATATATTTTAAAAATATTTTTTTTAACTGCAAAAATCAACAATTAAAATTTAATAATATTTCAATACCAAAATTCTCTGAAAACAAAAGTTTTTAGATATATAATATCGTGTTGAGATCAAATCTTGACATACAAAAATATTGTTTAGATCATATCCCGGTAACAAAAATGTTTGTGTATGTCTAATGACCAAAACTTACTTGAAGATATTCAAATCATTATAATATTTATTAGTAATATTATATATATATGTAAAATGTAATGTTAATTTATGAACTATTGTGACGTGTTAATCATTTTCTAAACAGAAATATATTTTTAAATATGTATAGTGAAATTCTTAAAATTAGATGTCAACAGTATTTGTATGTAACACGATGTTTATTTAAAATAACTTCAATTCGTTATGTTAGAACTTAAAATGCTATAAACAACATATAATTTATTTTTCAGTACATTTAACTTACACATCGTGTTATTAGTTTATAAACTTTGATCATAATAGTATATATTTAATATATATTATGTATATTCTTTTTATGGCTTAAAGAAAATCTTAAATCATTGTTTGTTCAATGTTGATTTTTTGTTAGTAATTTTGTCACGTTTTTTATGCGTTATGGTATACATTTCTTTTTAGAAGTAGTTTTATATTAATGTTTACTTGAATATTTCCGCCTTAAATCTGTTTATAAATACATTCTTGTTCAAAAAATTTGTTAGTTACATATTTGTTTAGAAATTGCAAAATTCAGTTAGTGTTTATTTAATTGCAAAAATGGTTATTAACTCACCTCATATCATGTTTCTAATCAAATCGAGTAATCATATTTGGCAAGTTTATACTACACCAAAAATGAAATATTTCCTCTTGAATTTGATGGCAAAAGCTTTGTCTTGACCGATCAAACTCTGGCTGCTCATGGAATTGATACACCTCCTGCAATCATTGTGATCATCAAAGAAACAGTCTCCATATCTTCTTCATATGTCTTTCTACAGTATGAGTCTTGGATCAAGCCTGCTTCTCAATAAACTTATGGCAAACTCACACATTTTTCAGAACTCTTTGAAGATGTAGAAAAACTGATTATTCTACCCCTAATAGGTTTATTGCCTATATCTCTTTATCCTTATATATTTTGCCATTTTTGGAAGGTTCATGATTTTCTCTTATTTGAAAATCGTTATTTACATGGAGATGAAATCTTCTTAAAGGATGTGAAGGATGCCAGACATCAACCTCTTCCCTCTCCGTCTGACCTCCATTATCCTCCCGAATACGAACTCTTATTTTGTTGATGTAGGGTGGAATGCTTTCTCGAAAATTTGTTGTATGGTTGCACTATTAAATCTCCTTTGAATTCTTCTGCTCCATAGTAATCCAAACAAACTATTTACTTTTTCGACCATTTTTTTGAAGCTACGATGAACTAAATATTATATAGTATGCTATTGTTTTCTTGATTTTTTGTTTTAGCTCCCAAAGCTTGATCTCTCTCATCACCTAAAAAAACTGCAAATGAACTCATATGTCTTCTATACGACATTACGCATTTTTGTTTCTATCTCCATTTTTTTATTCATAGATTATGTAATGTTGAGATCGACTCTTTTGCAATGTTGGCTTTGTTTGCTTAGAACAATTCTTCAGTTATTATGGTGTAACCTACTCTTTATTTGTAAAAACTTAAGTTTGGTCAAAGATAGTTCACCTTAAGGTTTATTTAATTCTTTATAACTAATATTTTAGTTATACAAATGTTTTTTATATAATTTTTAAAATTTTAGTAAATTATATTTTTTAACAATAATTTTAAAAATCTTAATTTAATTACGTTGGACTTGTGGAGTTTCTAATTTAAACCGGTTCTATTAATTAATTTTCTTGAAACATAAAAGAAGTTAACTAATTTTAAAAATATAGCTAATTTTAGATGACGATATAGATTAATATTATTGGCTGTTTAAAATTTGAAAAAATATGAGATGATGATATTTATTATATAAAGCTGGATGCGCACAATGTGGTTGCGACACGTAGGATTTTTATAAAATATAGGATTGCGACATGTGTCACTTAATGTTACGTCCGTTAAGATCGTGACACATGTCTTAGGAAAAAGGAAAAAAAATAAAGGGAAAATTTTAATATTTTATAATAAAAACGAAAATTTATATAATAAATTGAAAATAATATAATTAAAAATAGTACATAAAATAGGTATGTAAACTAAATATTCTAAAACTGTATGGAATAGGTTACATAAACCCCTATTTTAAAAAAAATCCTATTAGTATATGGAATAGGTATGTAAACTAAATATCATAAAACTGTATGAAATTGGTTACATGAACCTCCTATAAAAAGAAAGCTATTGTATTCTCTTTTTCTCATTCACAAGTTATCAAAGCAAATTCAGCAAATCTCTTTGATTTTCTTTCTCTAATTTTAAAATCATATCTTTAAAAGTTCAAGAGAACAATGGAGATTATTTGACTCTAGGTCAATTGGTTACATGAACCTCCTATAAAAAGAAAGCTATTGTATTCTCTTTTTCTCATTCACAAGTTATCAAAGCAAATTCAGCAAATCTCTTTGATTTTCTTTCTCTAATTTTAAAATCATATCTTTAAAAGTTCAAGAGAACAATGGAGATTATTTGACTCTAGGTCAATTGGATCGAAATCAAAATTATTGCCGTACTATAATACGTGTTATTCGAAAGTGGGAAGCTAGAAATACTAAAGAAAATAAAATTCTTATAGGAGTTGAGCTTCTATTACTTTATGAAAAGGTTAGTAACATCTTATTATATTGATATAGATAATCTTATTATTACATTGATTAACATTAAAGTTTTACTTTTGTTTGAAAAAGGAAAACATAATTCAAATTTTTGTGCATCATTCACTATTTCAAAATTTTGGAGATCAGATGCCCGAAGGAAACATCATCGAAATTTGTAATTTTAATCTGCAGTCTACTGATAAAAAAAACTTCTATTACTTTATGAAAAGGTTAGTAACATATTATATTGATATATATCTTATTAAGAAAAGTACGAAAAAAAACTCTCATTAAGAAAAGAAAAAAAAAAGGAAAATCAAAAAAAAAAATTGTTACATCTATTTCGAAAAGGAAAAGTAAAACATATTTCAAATATGAAAAAGGAAAAAAAATAATAATATATAGTAAGCTATAGTCTTCATGATTTAATTGTGTGATTCTATCTTTTGTTTACACTTCTCTCTCATTAAAAAATAAATATAATTTGATAAGTTTGTGAATGAGAAAAAAAAGACTACTTTAACTCTCTTTTTATAAGGGTTTATGAAACTTATTCCATGCAGTTATAAGAAATTTAGTTTACCAAACCTATTTCATGTACTAATAGAATTTTATTTATTTCATTAATTTGAATCTTATATGCGTTTGGATAATATAAATTTGATGAATGAGAAACCTTTTTCTATTAGGATATGACAAATATTTTTTTTTTCTTTTAACTATAAAAAATTAACTAAACCTAACCTATTTCATGTACTAATAGGATTTTATTTATTTCATTAATTTGAATCTTATATGTGTTTGGATAATATAAATTTGATGAATGAGAAACCTGTATGACAAATATAATTTTTTTTCTTTTAACTATAAAAGATTAAACTTTCGTTTTTTTTCTTTTATCTAAATTTTTTTAATTATTATTTTTTTTCCATTTTTTCTAAAACACATGTCACGATCTTAACGGACATAACCTTAAAAGTGACACATGTCGCAATCCTAAATTTTATAAAAATCATACGTGTCGCAACCACGTCGCGCGCATCCAGCTTTATATAATAAGATAGATGAATATATAAGTATAATATATATATATATATATTAAAACCTGGTTGAACCGGTTAGACCGTGTTGACCCATGACCCAAAACTTTTCCAGTTCTTATTTCGGTCCGGTTTTAAAAACATTGAATTATTTAAGTCTTATGTAAGTTGAATTATTTATTTTTTTCCCTCGAAATTTTATGTGCGAGCAATCGTGACGTGAACTGTATTCATATACAAGAAAATAAATGAATACAGTTTAATTGTCGATATTATAAAACGCTACAATATTTTGTTTTTTATTGGGTGGTATATAATAGGGACTATTTTGACAAATTTAATTAAACAGTAACAGAATTCCTTTTGCACCGAAAAATTCTCCTAGTTAGGGTTTGACAGGCTAGCTCGTGAAGATGGCAGAAACAACCGAAACTTGTGGTAGGACAATTGAAGAGCGGCGTTATGAAGACAGAATCAGTGCTTTACCCCAAGATTTGCTTATACAGATTCTGATGCTTATCCCAACCAAAGAAGTAGTAGCCACCATGATTCTGTGTAAACGGTGGCGTTTTATCTGGACGATGGTGCCTACACTGGAGTATAAAGAAAAAGAAAACAACGACGATGATGATGGTTATTAATTTTATGATGTTGATGATGATGATGATGAGGATGATGATGGTGATGATGATGATGATGATGGTAGTGATGATGATGATGATGATGATGATGATGATGCTGATGATGACAGCAAGCAAAGCGTTTGGTGGTTTCTTAACAAGTCAATGGAACTTCATAAAGCACCTGTTTTAGATACCTTGTCTATCCAACTCGGTTCACGTTGTCCTGGTGGTGTTGATGTTGGAAAGTGGGTTGCAAGCGCTGTTGATCGCGGCGTGCGTTTACTAAGATTGAAGCTTTGCTTGTCTCCAGATCCAACCACATTGCCGAAGAGCCTTTACTCTTGTGAATCTCTCGTCCTACTGACTCTCTCTCAGACGATTCTCGTGGATGTTCCTTTTCTTCTTGTCTCCCATCCCTCGAAGTTCTCGAACTTATTTACGTGGTGTATAAGGACGAGGATTCTTTCGTTAGGCTCTTATCGAGTTGTCCCGTTCTTGAGTCTTTGATCTTGAAACGAAAGAAATATGACAATGTGGCCAAGTTTAGTGTGAAAGTGCCTTCTTTATTGTCCTTATCCTATTCCAATGGTGTAGCAAACACCAGTAAGTGTGTAATTATAGACACTCCGGCATTAAAACAAATTGACATCACTGATTGTTCAGAAGACTCTTGGTCGATCGCGAGCATGCCTTGTCTCGAGGAAGCTGATATCAATGCTAAGTCTTTCCTTGTTATTAACAAATTCTTAAGACCTATTTCCACAGTTTTGTCTCTTGAGTTGTTTTTGTTCGATGAAATGGTAACACAACACCCTCTCTTCCCCCTTGTTATCACATTTATTGTTTCATCTACTTAATTATGTCTTCGTTTTGTTCATCATTGCAGGCTGAGTGTTATAGCACCATCAAATTCTCTCGGCTTATAAAGTGTAGGCTATGTCAATGTGACTCAGACTGGATGGATTCACTTGTAGATTTTCTTGCAAATACTCCTAAACTAACGTATCTTATAGTTGATTATGTAAGTATACATCCTCCTCACCTCCTGACTAAAAAGCTAACCCAAGTTAATATAAGTCTAATGTATGAGTAAACAATTGTTTCTTCTCAGCAACGTACTCGTCGACCCTGTACTGCCTCTATTGCGTGGAGGAAAATGGGCTCTTCTTATCCGGAATGCTTCTTAACAAGTCTGGAGAAGTTTGAGTTGATAGACTATAGAGGAAGAGATGAGGAGCAAGAATTGGTGGAGTACATCCTAGTGAACTCTATTCGTTTAAAGACGGTGACAATCTCTATGGCCTCAAAACTTAAGAACAAAGAAACGATAATGGAGAAGTTGAAAGCTATTCGTAGGGTTTCAAGAGCATCTCAGCTTCTGTTCACAACCTAAACATGATTACGTTAGCAAATTGATGGAGAAACATTCAGATAAAGCTAGATGATTAATTATTGATTATTAAGACCAACATTTTCAGTCAAAAGGCAGGACAAGTGAAGAGGTTAATTCATTGATCATCTTGTGTTTTTTTTTATGTGTGTGTGTTAGTTGCGAGTGTTGTTCGATATCCTTAGGTGTTTAAAATGCTCTGTTTTCAATAACGCATATAATTTTGGCTATTGAGATTGATCTGTTAAGGAAGAACAGATAATGATCAATTTTTTTATCGGATTTTATAATCTCCATTTTACACAGCTTCAAAATCTCTGACACTGAGCTCTTCGTCGCTACTTCAGAAACTTTTGGAATCTTTTGCCTTTGATATCCTACTGAATCTTATCAAATCTCTTTGGACTAAGATGATGTTAAATATTATTTCTTGTTATTAAGAATAGATCTGATAGGCCCAAAACTTCTTTTTCCTTTTTTCATTCCCGAATTTTCTTGATTACAAGTTACAACACACTTCCCAACCACATTGTGTAGGTAAAAACGCTGAGAAAGAATGCAAAACATCCTTTTCCAACGCAAAAAAAACCCATTAGACTGTTTCATGATCTCACCCCTCTCCAAAGAAAACCAACAAACAAAAAAAAAAGAAAGAAACCCAAAAAAAAAATGAAAAGAAAATTGAAAACATGCTCTGCAAATAAAAACCATATATGTATATATGTGCATCAAATCAGTTTTTGTTGGAAAGAAATTCTGATGCTGCATCCCTCAAATCTTCATACTGATAACATTTATCGAAGAACTCAGCAAGCTTCATCAGTTCTTGATCTTCCATGTCATCCACAAAAGGCTTAATGTGAACTCCATTATCAGGCTGCAACAAGTAGGAGAAAGGGTTATCGTCGACTAGCAAAACATTCCCGAGGTCTGTCCTCGCAAACAAAGACAAGTCTTTAGCATATCTCCCATTCATCTCCGTGCAAGAATCTCGATACAGCCGCTGCGAGATCACGCGGTTCTTGTCAAGTTTATCCAAAACCTGTGAAGCATATTCAGGCAACCCGGCTGTGAAAACCACCACCCGGAAATTCTTACCGATCTTGTCAAGAAACTCTGTAACTCCTGGTCGTTTCACCACAAACATGGGTATAACCGCTCCTTCGATCTTTATCCTCACCGTGAAATCGACATTGACCCTGACTGGGGGTTGCATGGATGCATGCACCAATGTTTCATCAAGATCAAGAAAGATGGTCCTCTTCTTGTCATTACCTTTTCTCAGAGGCTTCTCGAGCTTTTTGTAGCCTTGTTTCATGGTGCCTCGACGGCTAGGAGTAGCGCTAGCCAGGCGGAAAAACCTGGAGACGCAACGCAAGAGGCGGTTGTGGAATGTGAAGATAGACATGTTGAGGGATGTGAAGATGGAGCCAGCTGCAGCCGAACATCCTGATTGATGATTCCGGTTTCTCCTTTCATGTTTATGAACTCCAAATGATCTCGGCTTCGGTTTACTGATAAATCCATGGCACACCATTTTCAAGAAATAGGAGTTTTAATCGGAGTTTTTTATTCTTTTTCCGGCGGCTGGCTCAGATGGAAACCTGGAGAAATGGTGAAATGTATATAGAGCAATTGAAAGATACTAACTTCCATGCCTTTTGTGTTTGGGAACCAAAAGGCACTTGATTTGGTATAGTTTAGTTTATTCAGGTTTGTGATTAGTAAGCTCTGAGTTATTTTTAGCAAAAATAACAGTTACTGGTAGTCGACACGCATATTTTCGTTAATGATTGTTTCTTTATGTCTAATCTTAATGGACAGCAATATATAAATGTTCAGAGATTTTCATGGGGTTTACAGTTGAAGTGAATAACTCCTACTTAAGTGTGTAATATTAGACCATCTTTAATTAATTGTTATATTTTTGCTAAATTAGGCAAATTTGTTCTCTGCTCCTCTCTGATACTAATCATTATCAACACCAGTGATTCTAAAGAAACTGAACATAGCCACTATATCACTTTAACACTCGAGTTAAAGAGCATAACATAACTCCAAACCGTATACAAGATTTACAAATTAATAAAAGAAGATTTTAGGAAGTAAAGTTAACAGGAACTGAAAATACCGTTGTACATCAACTGTTGACCCAACTAGCTCCGGTAGTTCCAGTGAGGCTTAACGGCGATCTGTCTCTACGCTGTGTTCTCGGGATGATCAGAGGTCTGCAACAAACCAAAGTGAAAAGCAATTCCGTAACGAACACGCTCATGCTGATCCACACGAACAAAGTCTTCCGCCATTTCCATATGATTCTTTTGAAGAAAGGAAGATCAGAGTGAAGCGAAAGAGACGCGTCGTACAGCTCTGGAATACCTGCTCCGGGACGAAACTCCGCCCGTTGTTCGATCATTATCTTTAAGCAAGCAGTGGGGATCTCCTTTTCCACAAATCCGTTCAACTTCAAGCTCAATGTTTGGATCTCAGAGACGTAACCAGTCACCAAAGGAACCACTTTGAAGAACGTCTGAACAAGACGGATTGGCTCGCTCCTGAATCTTAACATGCACGGACGACTTATGCTAGCAAGCGTTTGGCCATCCGCAGATAAGAAATCCACCCGAACCTTCAACAAAACACATGATCCATTTCTAAAGGATTATAATTTATAAGGCAGAGCAAATGCAATGACAATAGCTTATGCCAAATACCTGAAACATGCCGAGGTTTTTATTGTAGACAGACTCAGGCAATGTCATTTCAAGAGCGATCTCTAACTTGTGGTCTCGAGGGATAGCTCGCAATCCTCTGATCTGCCACATTTCATTACTTTCCTTGCAACTTCCCTCACAAGCAACACCAGCACACGAGGTTATAGGCACATATGCTTCAGGACTGTTCTTGGTGTAGTCGAAATTCAAGATCTCCTTGACAAGGAATGGTTTATGGGCGATACGGTTTATCATAAACCCACCAAGCATAAGCGCAGTGACCAGCAAGCCAAACAAGACAATGCCTACATAAGCAGCCCAACACAAACCCCATCCAAACTTGCATGCAACGCTCAACATTCGTTTTGTATCTTTTAACCAGCTTAGATTAAAGGCTCCCAATATCATATCACTTACCAGAGAAACCCTCTTCGTTAAAATGCGTCTGATAAGCTTAATTGTGAAAAAGGGATCGAAGAAGAAGCGAAAGCACCAGCTGAGCAACAATGGAGGATATTTTACAAAGCCGATCATCAAATTGACTTGAAATTCGATTGCTTTGAACACTAGCCCAGCCAAAGACAGAAGGAGAGACGAATCTGCTGAGTTAGGTTCTGGGCGCGGCGGTGGTTCCGATCCGGAATAGTCGTCTTCTTCATCATCGCTCACCGTTGATTCTCCGGTTTGATCTTCGCTCATGCAATTCCCTTCCTGAAACGGGTCAACCCGGTCCCGACCCGAATCGGTTACTTCCGTAATCACCACCAAGTCGTTCTCTTTTTCCGGAGAAATGTCAATTAGGTCCATTGTTGATTCGATTAGGTCGCTAACATCCTCGCTTGTCTCGAAATCCCCCTTTTCCACAGAGCTCGGCTTCCCATTGATTTGAAATCCATTGGAAGAGGAAGAAGACGGCTCCGAATCTACATCGGAAGAAATCAAATTCCGGATAGGTGCCGACTTTCGCCGCCGGAGACTCGCGGCGGAGGGATTAGCCGAATGCTGGCGGTGGGAACGGGAACGGATCGGGAAGCAATCGTAGTAAAATTCGTCAGGTGCGTCGAGGAATCGATCGAATTCCTCGTCGGTGATGGTAGGGTTTGATGAGCAATCCATTGATTATTGAATCATAAACCAGAAGAAGAGAGGAATTGCGGAAGTTGAGGGTTTCAAAGTTTCGGTGACGAGAAGCATGATAGCTGACAAATGGCGTGACCGACCAATTTTTTTTTATTTTTTTTTTAAATCTATGCGACATAAGATTATTATAAAATATAGGATGCGACATGTGTCACTTTTAAGATTATGTCCGTTAAGATCGTGACACGTGTATTAGGGGAAAAAAAATATTTTTTAAAAAATACTAGAAATAGGATAATTAAAAAAACGAAATTTAATTAAAAAAAAATTTAATCTATTTTATAAAAAAGAAAAATTAATATTTGTCATATCCTAACAGAAAAAGGTTTTCCCATTCATCAAATTTATTATCCAAACACATATTAATTTATTATAAAATAAGATTGAAAATAATGTAATAAATAAAATCCTATTACTACATGGAATAGGTACGTAAACTAAAATTCCTATATCTGCAAGGAATATGTTATATGAACACCTATAAATACAAAGTTACAGTAGTCTCTTTTTTCTCATTCACAAACTCATCAAAGCAAATTCATTAAATTTCTCTGATTCTCTTTCTCTAATTTAAAAATCATGTCTTTGAATGTTCAAGAAAACAGTGAAGATTATTTGACTCTAGGTCAATTGGATCGAAATCGAAATTATCGCCGTACTATAGTACGTGTTATTCGAAAGTGGGAAGTTAGAAATCCAAAAGAAAATAATATTCTTATGGGAGTTGAGCTTCTACTACTTGATGAAAAAGGTTAGTAAGAAAATATATAATTTACAATAAATTGTTACATCCATTAAGAAACGGAAAAAAACATATTCCCAATACAAGAAGGAAAAAAAACAATATATAATAAGTTACACCCTTCATGATTTAATTGTGTCTTTATATTTTGTTTAAATTTTCTTTCTTATTAAGAAATGAAAAATCATGTCTTTAAAAGTTCTAGATATCAATGAAGAATATTTAATTTTAGATCAGTTGGATCAAAATCAAAACTACTGCCGCACCATGTATAATATTTGATCAGATTATAACATGTGTTAACACAAGAAAATTAGAAAAATTTAATAACAAAACGAAAAATTGTAAAACAACTAACTAATAATGAAAAGAAAAATTTATAATGGTCCGAGGCAAAATAAATATTATAAAAGAAAGAATATAAATAGAAAGCTAACAAAATAATTATCAACAGCTAACTAATATTAAAAAGAAAATTTTATTTTGGTCCGATATTCTAATTTTAAATAGTTTATTTTCAAATTTTTGTTAGGTCAAAAAATATTTAAAAAATTGATTTCATCAACTGAAATCTCTTCGATGGAATAATCAAAGTTTCACGTATTAATTAGTCCATCAGATTTAAACACATGTAAGTATTTCTATATTAGATAAAAATAAGATAACACAAATTAATTCATTTTTCATATCATGAATTCAAAACAAATGTCAATTATAATAAAAATGTAAAAAGATTACTAATCTTATTTTATTTAGTGATTTGTTATCGGGTTTTTATTATTATTCTACTTACTTTTAAAAATGATTATATTATGTTTAATAATTTTCCAGGATTTATTTCAAAAAAATTTAATAAACCCGCGTATACGCGGGGTCTAATCTAATAACTAATAAGGATTTGACACTCTCGAGTTCGGGACACGTGGCACATTCTTTTTTTTTTCCTTCCAAACGCCAAAACGACGTCGTTTTGTGGCATTTTTTTTTCTTTTTTTTTCCTCGCCTAACGCCAAAACACGTTGTTTTGCGTCTCTCCCACCTGCTTCCAAAACGACGTCGTTTTGATTTTAGGGTTAATATGATTTTTAATGTCGCCCAATTCTTTCCTCTCCACCTCTCCGCCTACATCCTCCTGAATCGCATTGACTCCACAGACGCATTGACCGATCATCTTTTGTTTATTTCTCCGGTGAGAATTTCCTTTTTTCCCGAGTTTCCGATTCTGCAATGTTCAAACTGCTATAAAATTTGTAGCCACTTCTCAAATTTCTGAGATTAGGTTCTAATTTGATGGAATCAATTGGTAGTGATGTGTGGTGAATTGCGGCACAACACAACCCCCAGATTTCGAGGTCAAGTCTTAACATCAGCATCCTTCAATTATTCCTTATCGGCGATGAACACCACCTCCAGACTCCAACCGCCGATGAAACCTTGGTGAATTCCTTTCAACCATAGATTATTTGATTCCATAATCGGCGGGATCTTTATAATTTATATACACGTCATGGCTATGTTGGTTTGATAATCGCTGCGGCTGCATTGGCAATTTTGTGATTGCAAAATGTTGTTCGTTTAGCAATCGTACATGCGATTAGCCTATAAGCAATAATCGCAGTCGCAGTAGCTAAAAAAAATTTGCAACACAAAATTTCAGTTGTTGAATCGCGCTGCGATTGCGACTGCCAACTAACTTGTCGCAATCGCAAAATCCTTACTACTACCAAATGATCAGAGCCTGTTGATGGATTCATTGATCGTTGTTGGTTTAATTAGATTGGGCTATTTGAAAAGTGATTTTGGTTTCTGTTCTTTGGGTCTTTAAACAGGTCAATATTTAGGATCAATAGTTAGGACGGCGACATCTTTGAAAGATTTCAAGCTTTGAAAGATTGCTTGTGAAAGCCGGTTAGCATAATGATCGAGACCACCAAGCAAAACTCTTGCACCAAAAGATCAACTCAATCAATTGGTCAACAATGAAATGAACTCACGCAACTCACAACTCTCTCTTTGTCGTATGAAATAAGCAAGTGGAACGCACAACACAGAGCAAACAGAAACAGAACAAAGTGACATTTACCCAGAGTCGTATCCGATGTGGAGTACTACTCTCTGGGGCTAGACTCAGTCCAGCAAATTCACTATCACGAAGGAATCGAGTTCTCAAACACAGAGAAGCTCGTAAACAAGAAGCCGTACAAGACGTGCAAGACAACTTCCAAGAGAATTAACAAACCCTAGCTGCTGGCTCAAGTATAAATACCCTTTATAACATTAGGGTTTACAATAATGTGCTAAACAAGACACCGACTTAGTCAATGTGCTGTTTAAGACAAAACCAACACAATTGACTTAACCGTCTGAATACTTAGCCAAACCAATAGCTGTTTGTCATAACCGTTTATCAGAGATTAGACCAATCTTCAACATTCTCCACCTTGGACTAATGCTCGATCAAACACTTTGCTTCCTTCAACATTCAACTTCGTGATCTCCTGTGAATTCACCTTCTGAACTTACACCGTCTAGCGAGTGACAAGCTACTCAAGCCTGAGTAACTCTAAGCATGTCTAAAGCTGATTTAAACTTGCTCACCGGGATGACCTTTGTCAAAACATCTGGTGGGTTCCTGCTTGTGTGTACTTTAGGTACTTCAACTTCACCTTCAGCAATGACATCTCTGATGAAGTGATATTTAGTCGCACTATGCTTGGTGCGCTTGTGAAACACACTGTTCTTCGAGAGGCAAATTGCACTCTGAGAATCGCTCCACACCTTTACTGCATCATGACTAAATCCGAAATCTCCAAGCAATCCTTTTAGCCATATTGCTTCCTTTACTGCTTCTGTAACGCAATGTATTCTGCTTCTGTAGTTGACAAGGCAACAACCTGTTGTAGATTTGATCTCCAGCTCGCAACATTACCTCCTACAGTAAAAATATAACTTGATATAGACCTTCTCATGTCTAAATCTGCAGAATAATCCGAGTCACAAAATCCCTGTATGTGCAACGCCTTGTCGGTCGTGTACATCAACTCAAGGTTCAGTGATCCTTTGATGTATCTGAGCAACCACTTCACAACTTCCCAATGCATCTGCCCCAGTTTGCTCATAAAACGACCTACTAGACCAATACCATACGCCACCTCTTGGGGCACAAATAATCAGTTTAGTACTTTAGTGGAGGCGTTTTTGTTTTAAAACGAGAAGATGGTACATGTCTATGGTGCAGCATCATTGAACCAAGTCTTGTCTCCTCTTCATGCGGAATTTTCTGTTCTGGTTAAGGAAGCTCTGCGCATCAACCAAAACAATCAAGGTTCAAAACTGACTGTCTACAACTGGTCAACCTGATCGAAGAAGAAGACTCTTGGCCCTCATTGGCCTCTGAGTTTGATGAGTTTCAAACTGTTCGTACTTCTTTGAATGGATTTTCTTTATCTTACATACCAAGTTTTTTAAATGTATGTGCCGATTGTCTCTTAAAAGGCACACGAGCACGAGTTTCCATTTGGGAAAATTCCATTTTTACCTATGTAAACTCTTTGGTACCAAGTTGGTTAGCCCATGAAGCTAGCCTATTTGAAATCTCTTAAAAATATATGGGTTTTTGCTGCCAAAGAAAAGACACTTCAAATTGCCTTTTATTTTGATAATTATTTTTAATTATTTAATGTGTGAAAACCACTCTCAGTTAAGATAGCAAGAATGGAATGCCTCACCGGACCAGTGACCGAACCGTAAAAGTTTTGGGTTCAACCTGGTTTGACCTGGTTCAATAATAATTTAAGAATAAAATATATAAATATATAGAAAATATAGAATAATTGAAGATGTTAACAAATTTTCATTAAGGCCTTAACTGGTAACCACATATTTGTGGAATGCTAAGGAATTTCACTGAAATTTTTTAGTTTGTTACGAGTTACATAATTGTGGAATTGTCGAATGTCACAAGATGACAAAAGTCACAAATCTTTTTTTTCTACATGAGATTATAAGTTCGATTAGGTCTGATCGGGAAATTGGATTAAATCTTTTTAGGGTTTTGGTTATTTCGAGTTTGCAGGTTTTCTGTTTAAATTGTTTTTTTTTTTAATTTTAGGCAAATTATCATATATTCATCTCAGCAGTTCCGCATATTCAAGTTTTTTGGAATGTTCATAATCGAATCTTAATAATAAAATTACGAATCCAAATAATAAATTTACAAATATGAAATATTAAATAAAAGTATTTATAAAAGCACACTGAGATCTGGAATGATGTATTAAATTTAATCACTCCGTAATTCTAATAAGATTTAATAGAGATTTTGAATAATTATAGCATATAAAATTTTGTGCAAGAAAAAATAACAACATATGGTGCCTATATGGTTACAATATAGGAGGGAATTCAATGAGACAATTTTTACTAATGAATTGATCATAGAAAATTATTATATTTTAAAATGTATATTTTTGTTTGATGTTTAATAAATTATTATGAATCTAAATTCTTAAATTATATATATTTTAAATAATTTGTTTCTTCAAATATTATTTAATTATTTCACAATTATATGTTTTACATGTTTATTTTATTTAACTGGTAAATATTTATTTCTTCTTTTAACAAACAATTTGTTAGGTATTTATTCCGCATTCAGCAACATTCAATTGTTACTATTCATATTAGTTATTAACTAATCAGCCAGATTCTGCAACAAATCTTCATTCAATTCAGCCAGATTCCGCATTCAGCAATATTCCTCGGTTACCATTTAGACTCTAAGGAATCGTCAAATTTAGTGTTAAAATTATAAACCTGAGTTAATCCGATTCATTGGGTCGCCGGTTTCCGGTTTTTAGCCGGTCGAATCCGGGTTGTTATCCGGTTCAGTTACCTCCAGTTTTCCATAGTAACCCAACCCATTCCTTCTCCCGGTTTTTGGTTGAACTCGGTCAGACCACCAGTCCGATCTGAGTTTAAAAACACTGCTAAAAACTTATAGATATTTTCCCTTGTAGAAACTCCCTATTGGTTCATGGTAGATTTATTCATTGTTGTGGTACTTATTTTGTAACAATTCATGGTCGTAGATTTATAGTTTTCTTGTAGACTTATTTGATTTGGCCGTAGATTTATTGTTATGTTTACGTTACGGTAGACTTATTTGATTTGGCCGTAGATTTATTGTTATGTTTACGTTACGGTAGACTTACTTTACATTACTGTAGATTTATACATTGTCTTGTAGATTTGTTTATTTGAATGTAGGTTTAAGGAACATGCTATATTTCGTTTATGTTGTGGTAGATTTATTTTCTTCGATTGTAGATTTATTGGTTCATGGTAGATTTATTCATTGTTGTGGTAGACTTATTTTGTAACAATTCATGGTCGTAGACTTTTATTTGTATATTATACAACACGTGTAGACTTAAATGTAATAGTTGTAGACTTTTATTTGTATATTACCACATATGTAGACTTATTATCTGTAGTACAATTGCTGTAGATTTAATTCGCGGAGTGTAGACTTATTTGACTTTTTAGCTAAACGCAGCGTTTTGTTTGGAAATCTATTTCATCATCTTCATCTTTTTATTTTGTGAAAGCTCGAACAGAAACAGATCTATGGGTTTCGAGCTCTAATCAGGTCAATGAAGACACTTTCTCAAGAGTGGAAGAAAAAAATACTTACTTAGTTGAAGAACAAGTTTGACTTCAATGTTGACAGATCAACTCCAACGTTATTGACTGTTGAGTGTTGGGTGAAAGGATGTAAATGGAGAGTTCGTGCTACAACTATTGGAGATTCTCCTGCATTTTATATAAAAGTATACGAAGGAGAGCACTCTTGTTCTGTGACTGAGCGTTCAGTCCGTTCCCGGCAAGCTACTCACCAGATTTTGGGACGTCTATACAAAGACTTTGTTGGAGGAGTTGGACCGAAAGTTTTGCCATGTCATGTAGCAGAAGCTTTGAACAAACGTTATGGAGTGAAGGTTTGTTCCCTTATTGTAGACTTTTTGTTTCTATTATTGTAGAGTTATATCTATTACCTGTAGACTTGTTTATGTAATGTAGACTTGTTAGTGGTTTGTAGAGTTATATATATTAACTGTAGACTTGTTTTTCCTCTATTGTAGACTTGTTAATAGTTTTCGTAGACTTATTTCTAACTTGTAGAGTTATTCTAATTGGTGACAGATTGATTATTGGAAGTCTTACCGGACATTAAAATATGCACGACAGTTAGTTCGGGGAACTCCAGAAAGTGGGTATGCAGAAATCCCGTCCTACTTGTATAGGATTAGGAGAGCTAATCCCGGTACACTTACAAAGCTTGTAATCGACAAGGAAGATAGATTCAAGTTTCTGTTCATTGCGTTTGGTGGCAGCATACATGGGTTTACTTTCATGAGGAAAGTTGTTGTCGTTGATGGGACCTTTTTGCAAGGAAAATACAAAGGTACACTACTAATTGCCACAACGCAAGATGGAAATTTTAATATCTTCCCAATCGCTTTCGCTGTTGTTGATACTGAGAATGATGAGTCTTGGGAATGGTTCTTTAGACAATTAAATCTCGTAATCCCGGATGATGAAGGACTTGCCATAATCTCAGATAGGCATAAATCTATAAGTAAGGCGATAAGGAAGGTATATCCGCATGCTAGTCGCGGTGTATGCACCTATCATTTGTATAAGAACATTCTGCTGAGATTCAGAGGTAAGGATGCCTTTCGACTAGTAAAGAAAGCAGCAACTGTGTATAGGATTGAAGAGTTCAATGAGATACTTGAGCAGATTGGAACTTTAAATCCGAGACTTCATACTTATTTGCTGGAAGATGATGTATGCAAGTGGAGTCGTGTCCATTTCCCAGGAGATAGATACAATTTCACAACCAGCAACATAGCAGAATCGGTTAACAAGGCTATATCTCATGCACGTAGTTTCCCCATTGTTGGACTTTTGGATGCTATAAGATCGATGTTGACAAGATGGTTTGCAACTAGGAGGAAGAATGCTGAGCTTATGACTACAACACTTACACGTGAAGTTGAAAAACGCCTAGAGGTATGTCTAATGCTGAACTTTTCGAAAATCTCTATAAATAATGAGTACCTACTACATTTGTATGTGTATTCTATGCAGGCTAAAGTTGATATTTCCAGGCAACTCACTGTGCAAGAAATAGATGAACATCAATTTCAAGTCACAGGTATGAACATCAATTTCTTCTTCCGTAGATTTGTTTCTTCTTCCGTATATTTGTTTTTTTCAGTCGTAGATTTGTTTGAATGTATTGTCACAGGTGGGATCTCTTTGCATGTGGTACACTTACGGGAGAAAAGATGTACTTGCCGTCGGTTTGATCTGGACAAAATCCCATGCGTACATGCCATTGCAGCAGCCGAAGCATGCAACCGTTTACGTATCTCCTTGTCCCACTTGTACTTTCATCGAAACTACTTACACAATGCCTACTCGAAGACTATTATGCCGAGGGACAATGGCTTCATGTTTACCATCCACGACTGTTAAAACAAGACAATCAATCACAACGCAAGATAAGTCTACGATAAAGCCACTATTAAATCATAGGTCAACAGAAAGTCTACAACATAGCAGCCAGAGTATCACTTTAAGTCTACAATGTCTGTGTTCATAAAAAGTCTACAACGATTCTAAAAGTCTACAACATTTCGAAAATCTGCAACGTTGTGTTTTAAGTCTACAACAGCGACAATTCAACATAATAAAGTCTACATTTCATTTAAATAAGTCTACAATAACATACCGTTTTAAAAATAATAAGTCTACTATTATACATAAATTCACACACAACACACTTCCTCTAGAAGGTAATCACTTCCTCCATAAGGGAATCACACTTGCTCCAGAAGGCAATCACTTCCTCTGGCGCATAGCTACTGAGATTGGAAGAGATTCTTACATACCGGAGTTGAATCCTCTGAACCATCACCGTGATTACCCTCCCCACTGCCACCATCAGCTGAAGCCTTAGACTCCACAGAAGGCTTCTCCTTGCCCTTGGTCTCCTCCACCTTGTTAATCCTATTCTCCATGGCTTCAAATCTGTCTTCAACTTTACGACCAAATGAATCAAACTTGCTGTCAATTTTTTCGTTCATTAACCGAAGCATCTTCATCACTTCACTATCTTCACTTTTTTTCTTCTTTGGAATGTCTTTCAACCTGATGCTCATATCAACATCTTCTCTTTCCTTCTCACTCTCCTCATCCATCTCATTCTCAGGAACCGTCTTCTTCTGCTGCTTCTTCTTCACCTTGTCACTTTTCTCCTCTGATTTGTTCTCCCTCTTCTTTCTCTTCTTTTCTTCCTGAATTTTAGATGTTTGGCTTTTCTTCATTGATGTCTTTGTCACAACATCTGCGCTTTCCTCAAACACCTCTTTCTTCTTTTTACTCTTCACAACCGCCACATCTTCTTCCCATTGTGATTCATCCAAACACCCATCATAGATATCTTCGATCATGTTGTGAAGCTTCTTATCACATTTCACAGCTTCATCAGGCCACACAAGATATATGTCCTCAATAGAATCAGGCTTCATCAAGAAATGTTTCACTCGAACCTACAAGTATTTAAGTAACTACATCACAAACACACCATACAAATTTCTGGGAAATTGAAATTGAAAAATACAAACAGAAAAAAACTGTACCTTCTTGCTCGCTTTCCTCTTTATCCTTCTTCAAAACGTCTTCCATTACAAAATGCTGCCGGCCACAACCCCAACGAAGAAGAGGAACTTCAATCCCTTCTATTCTTCTCCCAAACAATTCTCCCAAGACAGTCACTAACTCATATGCCCATATGAGCAAGACATGCACACATCCATGCACAACATAAGAGTCTCCAGCCAAATCAACAACTTGCACCGATTTGATCAGCTTCTCGAATCCAACTCGACCCCAAAGATATCTCTCAAACGCTTCCAGATCCATTACTCTTTTCGCAAGCTCCAAAGGGATCCTACTACCACGATTAAGCCCTAACACGCCTACAGACAAGATAAGCAGCAAACCAAGCCGCTTCTTCTTCTCATCAGACCAGAATGTGGCATAATCCTAACCAGCTCTTCCCAAGTAGGCCCTTCCTCTGGATTCATTTTCAACTCTCCCCAAAACCCTGTGTGGTCAACGTTCCACTTGTCTTCAGGATCAAACGCATCACACTTTAATCCTGTGATTGCACCAAACTCCAAGAGCGAAAATCTTACGGGTTATCAACCAATCAATGACCATATCTCGTATGAACTTTCAATGGCCAATTGATGTGTTAGGAAATGATGCACAGTCTGAGATCGCCATATGTACGCACTCGAGGCAAGCTTCAGAAGAACTCCGAGTTGAGAGTTGTCTCTAATGTCGTTGTAGATGTCTTCACCTAAGAAAGATGTAATGGCGCTCAACTTCTTGTCCTTCCTTTGCCTCTTCCCAATATCAGGAAGCGAGCAGCAGTGATTCATGCTTTTGTTTTGCAACGGTGATTTTCCTGCTGGATACATTCTCGGAGGATATTCCCTCTTCACAATCTTTGAAGACACCATCCCTGAAAAATGAAGCACAAGAAGATTTAAATAAGTCTACAACAAGAACATTAATAAGTCTACAACATCGCACAATAAGTCTACCAAAAAGTACAGTAATAAGTCTACATATCATAATAAGTCTACATCAAATAAGTCCACATCTCATAACAAATCTACACAATCAATGTGAAATGTCTGCGACAACACTCAAATCATACATCCACTAACAAATCTACGGTCATTTTTAACAAGTCTATATCTAAAATCTAACAAGTCTACAATTAAACAGCCATAATATAACAAGTCTACACATGCAAAATGATAAGTCTACTATATCAACTACTAATGTTTAAACATGTCTACGACATCAAACTTTTAATTCCGAGTAAATCTACAACAATGACAACAATATCTCTACAAGAACAACAATAAACAGTAGCGTAAATCTACAATAATCACATAACCACCAAATTCAAAAAAAAAAAACTCATCGGAAACGAGAGTGTTGTTGCCGGAATCTCTCCTTTGTCTCACTAAAAAGCGAAATGAAACAGAAAATCAGATAAAAGTTTAGGGAAAAGTTAGGGTTTACTCGAATTTTGGGGAAAAGTTTAAAATCATGAAGAATCAGAGATTATCACTACCTGTATGTCGTCGGAACGAATAAAACTCCTTAACGGCGCCGGAGAAGAAGAACCGTCGGATTTTCTGTATATCACCACCAAAATTCGAAAATCAGAAGAGAAGAAGGTGAATAATTGTGAAATGGAGAGGGAGATAGAAGGTCCGACTCGTCGAGATACCGTAACTGGTCGGAATCGTCGAGATTCAACCGTCGAACGGACTGAATCGCCGGAGAGAAATCGCCGAGAGAGAAGAGACAACTTTTTTTTTTTGATTTTCGAAATGGAAATGTTGGGGAGAGAGAGAGAGTATGCAATTAGGTTTAGATTGATTTTTGGTTTAGATTAATATTCGGTTTAGCTTAATATTCGGTTTAGATTAATTTTGGGTTTAGTATGAAATTGAATGGCAATTTTATAATATATGATCTCCTGAAAACTTTACAAGTCTTTTTACACCTTTGTAAAATACAAAGGTTATTATAGTTATTATTAAACTTTTCAAGGTTATGTTGATCCATTTTCTCTTAATTTTATGTTAAATATTAATAGCAGACAAATCAGAAACAAAACAAAGAGTGCATACAAGAGGATCTAAGATAAGTACTTCACTATTTTATGCTTACGCCTAATTCTGTCACATGTCAATTTCTTTTTAAATGTTTTTTTTCTTTACTCATTTTGTTTTCTACTTGAGTAAGTAAGAGAATCTTCTTTGCTTTATACAACTCCAGTAAGACCATTACTCACACAAGAATATTACACTCAGGTGGACTTTTTCACTTTCACATTACAATATGAGGGACTTATTGAAAGTGGTGGACTTTCAATAAATGGTATTACCCTATTATCCTGAGAAAATTATAACCATGTGCACTTTTTGAGTTTCATTTTACACTTTGAGTGACTTTATGAAAGTGGTGCACTTTCATAAATTGAAATGACTATGTTATCCTCGTTTTTCTCATCGGCACTTTCACCAAATATTCCTTTTAACTTTTTACCTCTTCTTTATTTACATTCACTCTTCACTCCATTGAAACCACGGCCCTTCCACGGCCGCCTCTCCGAGTCCGGCGAGTCTCACCTTCCGATTCCGTCAAGTTCTATACAGAAATACATCTGCTCAGTGTAGAAAAAATATGTTTCTATTTCCTTTTTTCACCGGAGCCATCATCGTCTCTGCAATCAAAGTTATAGGTTGTCTTTAGTTTTTGGTTATGTCGAGTTTTCTCTTTGAAGTTAGCCTCATCCTTTTAGATAAGAAATCTCTTTCTTCGTTACTCCAATTTGCTTTTAGATAAGTTATGGGATTGTTTTTCTCTAGTTCTCTGTTTCAAGTCAGATTTACATAATCTACTACCATTATGCAGAAACAGATGAAAACGATGAATTCAAATCAGAATTTGCTACCAATTGTTTTCCTTACAGTTGATAAAACATATATTCCAAAACCAGAAAAAGAGTTTTGATCCACCATCTCACATCTCGTCCAACTCCCCCGATTTTGTTGTTCTTTCTGATTTTTTTTTAAATGTGATCCTATTTCCGATTCTGCTCCATTTTGTATTTTGTTCTTGATTCTAACTAAACACTTATAATTTAGCCATGTATGTTTTTATGTGGATATAATGTTTGCTGGTAATTTTTGGATAGTTTAGATATGGATGTTTTTTTACTAAAAAATGCATGGTAAGTGTTCGATCAATTGTCTGTGAGAACATTTTGTATTGGTTCCGGGGAAAAAATGCTTTTCAAGTGAATACAACATTGATCTGGCTGCAACGTCAGATATTCAGATCCACGAAATATCGTCCATAATAGATAATATAGATACTTTTAGTTTGATACCACATCCGTCCATGAAAATCTATCCACACAAAAATCGTCCACGATGCTATTATATGCTTTTGTAATACTAATTGATGAAAACATGATAGTGGACAAACAAATTTATGGATACATTTTATTGGACAAAATGTTCATGGACAAAATAAATAACCTTTTTACGAATCACCACCCGAGACATGTATACATTTAGATTTGAATTAGTGATTGCGATATCTGATTATGAACACACTTTTAAACTAAATAAGTTATGGATACATTTTTTGTGGACCAATGTTCATGAAAAAAAAACGTCGGCATATTAACCTACAAATAGATACACTTGTTATCTAACACGCACAAAGCAAAACTCATTTAGCAACTAAATTAGTGCGAGATCAATTTGTAGATGAAAATATAAAATATTAAAGATCAAAAAGCGTACACGCTGCGACACAAAAAACGTACTTCCAAACCGTACAAACAATATAACTGTCCAACACAAAAAGCGTACACGCAGCACATCTGTCGAGTTGAAAAACATCCATCCAATAAAATCAAAGCTAATAACTCCGCCCAGATCTCAGTCCGCCGTGAATTACGAGTACACAGTCGGCAAATTTTTTTTTTCTAAGAATCATTGCTGGCATACACACTACCATTCGTATTCGGAGAATCATTGTTGGCATTGGTGTTGAAATCGTTTTGGTATAACATCAAAGAGATTAAAGTATTCACAGAAAAGTGAGAAGAGCAAGGCTTTATTACCTCAGGGACAAGCTTCCCCGTCTCTATCTCAGGGACAAGTTTTCCTCCGCCGACAACTCCACAAAAAAATTATGACTTTTCTTTATTTTTTTACCGCAGACTTATTAAGGGCAATTGTGCCATATTGGAATTCTTAGCTATAAGAAAGTCCACCTCTGTCAATAAGTGCCTATTTCTGTTATGAAACTCATAAAAGTCACCCATAGTGTATAATTTTTATTTTTACCAGCCTTCATCTTTTTACCTCCTTCTCCTTTCCGACAAAACACCGGTCAGATTTACATCCTACTCTGTTTTGCTGCAGTTCTTAAAAAACTCTGGCTAATCTCATGTTCCACGGTAAGTAGCAGCGGATGTGGATTTGGCTTTAATTTCAATTAAAGACCTTTGCTTTACCTGCAATCAGTTTTCCTAATTTCTTAAAATTGGTACAAATTCTCAAGTTTGTTAATTTCTTCTTGTATTTGTGGTTGACAGACTCACTATAATTAGATATTATCATGATAGTTAATTGTAATCCATTTTTCTGCATTTAGATTTGTTTTCGATGTCGGGATTGTTTCAATTGATATGGAATTGTTTGTCTTATTCAATTTGGGAATTTACTCACGGTGCTGGGTTTAGACCTATTGAGTCCTTCATATTCAATTTTACAGGTTTTGTAGGAGCAAACGATGGAATCAACATCGGATTTGGGCAAGCTCTTCACTGGCGGGATTTCATAGGACACTTACAAACAACTTCCAGGGAACTTTGACAATTACAGAGATGTGAACAATTAGGGAAATTTGGTTGAAAAGTGATAATGAGAAGAAAAGCTCAGGGCTTTGTGTTGTTCCACCGTCTCCGAACTGCTAATGGTAACTCTCATCTCCTTTTCGTGGATAGTTTTTTCAAAGCACTTACACATGGATAGTTTCTAGTGGATGGTTAAATATGGATGCTTTGAGCGCATGGACAAGTTTATGTGGATGAATTGGCTTTAACTATATATGTGGACATAAAATTTAGTAAACACGTTATGCTCTGAAATTCGTGAATTTAGTTAAAAGAGAAATGTTCCCTCACCAAAACCAGGTATTGATTAGTCTTCTTGATCATAGAGTTTTCAATTCATTAATCTTTAAGAGTCATGGATGCTTCATTGTGGATGGTTTATTAATGGACGCTTCATCGTGGATGTTTTATTCATGGATGCTTTTATCTATCTATTTGGATGCTCTTGATGTAAATAACTCGGCTTGATCCATTCACATTGTGGCAAAAACTGTACAACAAAACTGTCCACCGCAGCCAGACTTCACCCACGAGTTCTTAATTATCTCGTTGTGGATAATATAGATATGGATGCTTTTTAAGTTTTCTGTCCTTTGCTTTTCTTTATCCATGCATTTGTGTCCATACCATTGAAACACTATGCAATTTTTAGCTTTTCCATCAATTAGAATTAGATTTAGGCTTCTATAGTCTCTCTTAACTTAATCAAGCTCTTATTCATTTTAAATTGATTCAAGCACGCTTTGCTATTGTTTAAGTTTGTCTTTTGGACATCATCGTTTAAGTTTTAATTGAAATCTATGTTGAGTTGTTGACCAATAATGAAAAAAAACTATGAATCTGCAGGTTTTAGTTCTATCCAATGTATCCATTTTTTTGGACAGATTCAGAGGTGAAAACAGAACGTATAACACCCAGGAAATGAAGAGTATTGTTTTGGCTTTGCCTGTTTCTAATAGAAGTGTTGCTCTTATGATGTAAAGACATATTCTGATTATCAATTTCTTCATGATTATGCTATATTAGGACAAAGTCACAGAGAATGGCTATTTAATAAGAATCATCCACAGTTATAGCATCCAAACTTTGTATTCTACACTAAAAACAAACCTAAGCGTACATGGTCATCAATCGTCCAAGAACACGTTGAGCTATAATAAAAACCAGAAACAAAGATTCAGTTACCTTCTTACAAGAGAAAAAAAAATCTAAAAAAATAAGTTTAAAAAAAACTCTAGCTCAGTCCGAATCAGATGAGAAAACGCTTGTCATATAAAACAAAATCTGATTTGTGTGCGATCTTACCGGATCTGAAATCGTGGGACTAAGATAATAAACTTTACCTGTTTTTCACCTTATTTTGATTAAGGGTATAAATGAAATATCACAAACACTACACTCCAAAAAAAAGTGCACCTCCGAACAAAAATCCCTCTTAGGCCTTGTTCGTTTGAACAGTTGGCTGATTCAGCTGGATAATCCAATCAGATGGTTCAGACAGATGATCCAGCCAGATGATGTTCACTTTTTTTTACTCTCAGCCAGATGGACCAGCCAAATGGATCAGCCAGATGAATCTCTTGTTTGTTTTCTTAGTTAGATGGATCAGCCAAATGCTTATAATGGATAATGACTAAAATGCTCTTATTCTGTTTTGTAACACATTTCAGCTCAAAACCTCAAACAAAACAAGACATTTTAAACTGATAATTCATAAACCATTGGGTTCTTAAATAGAGATGAAGAAAACGCAACAATAATCCAAAACTGAGTCATTTCAACAACAATAATCCAAAACCATTGGTGTTTCACTATCCATCTCACATTCATTGCAACAAAGATGAGAAATGAAGACCTTCAAACATATTTGAACGAGCAGCACAAATGCATCAAACTTCAAACATTCAATTTGCAATGTCACTCATAATTGAATTGCTTAAACAGAGCATTAGACTTCAAACATTCAATTGCAAACATTAGACTTACACCTATCAATTGCAAATGGTTATCACTAGTTCACATTCACAATGAAAAGCAGAAGCTGTGTATTAGTGAGTCTCTCTGGTCCTCTTTCCGAAACCAAAACCATCACAAAGTGAGTAACACATAGAAAATGGAAGTTAATAAGATCACAGACCTGTGAACATGGAAGTCTAGTTAACACGATCACACACATACCCAGAAACCTTAAATGAATCATCTATAGATACTATGGTATTTTCTCAAGTGCTAGTTCATAAATCTGTCTCGCATTCACTACACAGAACCAAAAAGTCACAACTCCTAAAAAGGGCTATTACGATTCTATTTCAAATTATCAAAAAAGGATGCAAAAACTTAAGAGTTTCACACAAATTATCAAAGAAGCAACAAACCATGATTTGAGAACTTCACAAAATCAGATGAAGAGGTTGAGACCCATAAACGAAGAAAGAGCTTGAGAGAAGTTTTAAAGCTCTAGATCACTAGTAATCAAACCTTAAAGAGGCCCTTGAGATCAAATGTAGAATCCGCCGTCTGAGAGAAGCCGCCGGAGAGACTCTGCTGGAGAGAGAGAGAAGTCGCCCGTCGGAGAGAGAAGCCGCCAGAGAGAGACTCTTATGGAGAGAGAGAGAAGTCGCCCGTCGGAAAAAGAATCCGCCGGAGAGAGAGAGAAGTCGCCCGTCGGAGAGAGAAGCCGCCGGACAGAGATTCCGTCGGCGAGGGAAGAGACCTTTTTGTGAGAGAACGGCCAGAAGAATAGTGAAAATAGATTTTAGGTTTTGTGAAATGAGAGGGTTAATTTTGTAATTTGATTATTTGAGCTGAAGATGGATCAGCCAAATGATTCATTTTGGATCAGCCAGATGACTTTCAATTTGTTGCCTAAATTTTAAAAATCAGTCAGATGATCGAGCTGGATGATGATCATTTTTTGCATAAAACGAACAACAGCTGGATGATCCAGCCAACTGGATCAGCTGACTGTGCAAACGAACATGGCCTTAGTGTAAAGACAACTCAGAAAGTCACCTAGAGTGTAAATCAGAAAGTCCCTCTTAGTGTAAAGACAACTCAGAAAGTCACCTAGAGTCACACATAATAGATAATTGGTCTACTTCCCAAAATATTGAATAAATTGTGTTCGAGTTTTTTACTATTTTAGAATCTTTTTTTTTGCGCGACTATTTTGGTCATCTTTTCAATAACATAGAGAAATGGGTTAATTCTCTAACTAAACAGATATAAATACATTTTTAAGATACTATTTTTTGTTATTTGTCCCTCCAGTGGACGACTTTGTTAAACTTTTGTAGGGTCACTGCTTTTTCTCATTGTGGCATTGTATCCGTCTCTGTAAATTCAATTTTGACGGTTGTAAGAAAAAAATGACTTTTAAAGTTAAAAGAAAAAAAAAAAACAAAAAAACCAAGGGAGGAAAAACACAGTTCGTAGATTCTATGTAGATTTGTCGTAATTTGACATATATACTTTCTCATCATCATCATCACACTTGCCAAACCAACCCAGAAATTTCAGATCTTCCGCAATATTTTACCGTTTTAGACGAGACTCTGATAATTTACGTCGTCTCTCGTCTGCCTTTTCCCTCAAAAAGAGATTTTGTGTTGCATCTCTTCTGTATCAAATGGTTGCCGAGAAGAAAAAGAAGAAGAAGGATGTTAAAATCTTTGCATTTTCTGTTTTTGCGATCTTTTGCTTCAGAATTACCAGTATAAATGCTATCAAATTACCGCAGGATGAAGGTGGGTTTCAAGTTACTCCCTTTCTGTTCTTTTTTTTTTTGTAATGAAATCTTGATTCGTTTTTATCATTTCTCTTTCCTTTTTGGATTCTGGGTTTACTGATTTTCTGCAAAGTTTTCGCCTTTTTTCTCTGTTTCTTTTATTTTTGTTGGATTCGTGAAGTTCCCTTATACGATAAAGGTTTCACTTTTGAAATTGTACTCATTTTCTGATTGGTAACCGGAAAATATGTGGTGACGTTGGCATATCTCTAGGGGTTTTGTTTATGGGTCAAGTTTCTGAATCCAGAATTTTCAGGCCAATTATATAAGTTTGATTGTGTGATTAGTCAATTAGCGTAATTAAATTGATTGATTTTGGTTTGAATTCCCTTTGACCATTGGGTTTCCTTGAGCAAGGATTTGTCCTATAGATTGTTGATCTTTGGTGTGGATAAATTGCTTTAGATTAATGATTGTTCCACTCATTGTTCAAGGCCAAGGGTAAAGTCTTTGTGTTTTGCTCTAATATGTTATGCTTGTTTGCTTCTGTGCATGTCCCTTAGTCGATGCTCTGCAGCAAATCGCCAACACATTGGGCTCCAAGTACTGGAAATTTAATGCCGAAGATTGCAAGGTCGAAAAGGTGGGGCTAACAGAGACTCCTCCTTCAACAGCAAAGCAAGAAATAGAATGTGAATGCAGTCCCACGAACGACACTGATTGTCATGTCGTCAAAATGTAAGAATACTCAACCTCATGAGACATGTATCTATTTTCTACAACTTTTTTTTTTTTTTAAATGATTTTCCAATTGCTATCTGACTTGTTCTTTAGTGCATTCAAGGATCATAATCTTCCAGGAACTCTTCCTCCTGAAATAACTAAGCTTCCAAACCTCCGGGAGATGTAAGTAATCTCATATACTAATTAGATAAAAAAATTACCCACTTCTGAGTAAACCAAAGGAGTTTTGACCACCGTTTCTTGCTATATTTTAGAGACTTTGCCTACAACTACCTCAATGGGACTATACCACTTGAATGGACAATGACAAAGCTAACATTTATGTAAGACTATTCCCTCTCATTGTTTGTAGCTTTTAGTGTATAAATCCTCTTGTAACAGTCTCAGAATGTCGCTGCAGCTCTCTTCTTGTAAATCGGCTGTCAGGGGAAATTCCAAAAGAGTTGGGAAACATGACTTCACTAACTTATTTGTAAGTTTCCAGCGTCGCTCAACATCTTCTTTCTTCTGTAAATTGGTTTGGTGTTTAGCTAAATGGATCCTTCAGGTGAAAACTAAATATTACTCCTTTTACCTCTTGAAACTTGGCTGAACAATTTGAATATTTTAGTGCACTTCTCGTCTGAAAGAGTTTTAGCTTTCTCTATAAGAGTGCTGCTGATATATTGTTTGTTTTTAGGGATCTTGAGTCAAATGCCTTATCTGGAACCATTCCTCAGGAGCTTGGGAACTTAGTCCACTTAGAAAAACTGTGAGAGTTTCTGATTCCCTTTCCGTTTCTATGTTTCTTTGATTGTGACCATGTTTAAGCGCGTGTTCATGAGATCTTTTCTTGGGGTTTCATCTTTTACAGATTGCTTTCCTCCAACAATTTGACGGGTAATTTGCCAGCTTCGTTATCTAAACTACAGAATATTTCAGATTTGTAAGATTCTCGTTCTGTTCTCTCCTAACTTAACTTAACTACTTATCATGTTGGTCTCCTATTTTCATCTGCTGCTTGGTTTTGCACAATGCAGTAGGATTAACGATCTCCGACTCAGTGGAACGATACCTACTTACATAGGAAACTGGAAGGAACTGGAGAGACTGTAAGATCCCTCTTCTTTGGACTTGTTTCTTGTTTTTAGCACTCACTAAACGATCTTAATCTTCTTTCTTGCTTGTAGCGAAATGATTGCATCTGGCCTCACTGGGCCAATCCCATCAGTCATCTCATCTCTAAGCAAACTTAAAAATCTGTGAGTAGACACAACTCTTGTGACGCCATTTTCTTTATTCTCCATAGAGTTTAGTTTGTTTTCATCTATTGTAATGCCAATGACGCTTTGTTATTATAATTCCCTAATTGTATATCAGGAGGATCAGTGATATAGGTGGACCAGTCCAACCATTCCCTTCGTTAAAGAACTCAACAGAGTTTACTAAGATGTAAGTTAGATCTGTTTCATTCCTTCTTGAAGCTGTTCTTTTACCTAATTCTTGTTTATTTTACATTGTAGCATATTGAAGAACTGTAACCTTTTTGGAAAAATTCCTCCTTACCTTTCAAGTTTAAAGAACCTGGAGACACTGTAAGCATGTCCTCGGACTTTTCTATCAAGTGTCAGTGACTTAAAGTAGTGACAGGACTGATTAAAATTCATGTTACGGTTTGTGGATAGGGATTTGAGTTTTAACAAGTTGGTTGGGGAAATTCCGACTTTTGCGCAGGCAGAGAATCTACGGTTTGTGTAAGTGAAAAGATGCTACTGTCACATATGTTTGATGTTCCTACCTTCCTTCGACTTAACAATTATTATATTACTTTTGTTTGCAGAATTTTGGCTGGAAACAAGCTCGAGGGAGAGGCTCCAGATGAATTACTAAGGGATGGAATCACTATGTATGTATATTTTAATGGATTTTTGCAAATTGGTTTCCAAGTTTTGTGTTGCATTATATCTCCATCTTGATGCCAACTCGCTTGTTTCTGCAGAGATCTTTCTTATAATAACCTCAAGTGGCAGAGTCCTGAGAGTCGTTCTTGTCAGCCAAACTTGTGAGGATTTTAATTGCCATGTTTTCTTCTTTGACGGTTTTGGTTGACACTTTAACTGATAATTTCATCGGACTTTATTGGTTTTAGGAACCTGAATCTAAACTTGTTCCAGAGCACTTCTACAAAAAAATCGTAAGGTCCTTTCTTTTGATCATCTATTTGTATCTTACATATTCCTAGTTTCAAGAAGAAGTCCACAGTTGATACAAATCTGATTCCCAATTGATGATTTTTGCAGGAGCAAATTTCTGCCATGCATCAACGACTTTAAATGTCCTCGATGTAAGAACACTTACATGATATATAAAATGTTGATGTTGAAAGTGCACTCGTGTATTCTCTCTCTCTCATTTATGCACTTTGGTTTTATCTTGCAGATTCTAGCTGCCTCCATGTGAACTGTGGTGGAAGCGAACTAACGGTAACAGAACACAAAAGCAATATTATATACGAAGGAGACGGAGAAGCTGAAGGTGGTGCTGCAAAGTATTTTTTGAAGCCTAATGCTTATTGGGGATTCAGCAGCACAGGGGACTACATGGACGACAACAATTTCCAAAACACAAGATTCACCATGTTTGTCCCGACATCTAACCTCTCTGATCTTTACAAAACATCAAGAATAGCTCCTGTGTCCCTCACTTACTTCCACGCCTGCTTGGAAAATGGAGGATACACTGTAACTCTGGACTTTGCTGAGATGCGTTTCACCAACGATGAAACCTATAGCCGGCTTGGGAGGCGTGTGTTCGACATTTACATTCAGGTTAGCGTTGTGCAACTCAAGCTTTGAATGCAATTTTGTTTTTACGCCGTCTTTTTTGCAGGAGAAATTAGTGGTAAAGGACTTCAACATCATGGATGAAGCCAAGGGAGCTCAAAAACCTACAAACAGATCATTTACTGTCAATGTAACAAACCACTTTTTGGCCATCCGGTTTCGTTGGGCTGGTAAAGGAACTACCAGGATTCCTACTAGAGGTGTTTATGGTCCTCTCATTTCGGCTATTTCCATACTTTCAGGTACCTTTCTTATCTCATCTTATAGCAGAAACCATTTGGATGTGTGCATCTGATTTTGAACACTTTTTTCTCACCACACTAGTTTCTCTTATCTTCAATGTACAGATACTAAGCCGTGTGCACCACCGGGGAGTGGATTGAGCGTGGGAGCATATATTGCACTTGGAGTTGGAATCCCATTTCTTATTATCTTACTACTTGGATTTCTTTGGTTTTGTGGCTGCCTTCCAAGATGCTGGCAGCGAAGAGGTGATTATTTATTACTTCTTCTTTTGTTATTTCTCTTTGGCTTTTGATATTATACACCAGACTGCTTCTTATGAGTTCTAACTTGCTTTTTAGCCACCAAAAATTTGTGAATTTACAAGTAAGAACATGAAGAAAGTTTTTCTTGGTTTATTTTTTGCTACAGATCCTAATGAAGAAGAGTTGCCATCTGGAACTTTTACATTAAGGCAAATAAAATTTGCTACGGATGACTTCAATCCAAATAACAAGATCGGAGAAGGTGGTTTTGGTGCTGTCTTTAAGGTAAAGATGGGATGATCTTATGATATATGAAGAAATGAAAGTTGTAGCTAGTGCTGATAATAAAATCTCATTTTGCAGGGTACGTTATCAGATGGAAGAGTTGTAGCAGTTAAGCAGCTCTCATCTAAATCGAGACAAGGGAACAGAGAATTTCTAAACGAGATAGGCGCAATCTCTTGTCTTCAACATCCAAACCTCGTCAAGCTTCATGGCTTCTGCGTCGAGCGGGCTCAGCTATTGCTGGTGTATGAGTACATGGAAAACAACAGTTTAGCTCAAGCTTTATTCAGTGAGTGTTTTTTTTTTTTTTTTCTTGCTAATGGAAGCTTTTTTTTAATGCTTGAGCTCTAAAAGAAAATGTGTTTGGTTATTGCAATGTTTTAGGTCCAAAGCATAAACAGATTCCCCTGGACTGGCCTACAAGGTTCAAGATTTGCAGTGGGATTGCAAAAGGTCTCGCGTTTCTCCATGAGGAATCACCTTTGAAGTTTGTACACAGAGACATCAAGGCCACTAATATTTTACTGGACAAGGATCTTACTCCCAAGATATCTGATTTCGGATTGGCTAGGCTCGATGAAGAGGAGAATACACATGTCAGCACCAAAGTCGCTGGGACTATGTAAGCCAGGCCTGAGCTCGCTGTGTCTTTCTTTCTTTACCATTACGGTTTGTTTGTTAACCATAAGAAACAATGTGCAGAGGATACATGGCACCAGAATACGCACTGTGGGGTTACTTATCTTTCAAAGCAGATGTCTACAGCTTCGGTGTTTTGGTTCTAGAGATCGTCGCTGGCATAAACAACAGTAGTTTCATGGCGGCACAAGATTCAGTCTGCCTCTTGGAATGGGTAAGTTATGATCTGATCTCAAGTTTTCTCAGTTGCTTATGAAGCGGTTTTCTTGATAAAACTATATATGTCTGCAGGCTACTGAGTGTGAAGAGTCAGGGCACTTGATGCAAGTGGTGGATGAGAGATTGAGACCTGAAGTGTACAAGAAAGAAGCAGAGGCAGTTATAAAAGTGGCTCTCGTGTGCACGAGCGCTTCGCCAAATGATCGTCCTATAATGTCAGAGGTGGTTGCTATGCTCGAAGGTATGTATCCAGTGCCGGAGTCAATCCCGGGATCAAGTAAGAAGTCAGGGGATGTAAGGTTTAAGGCGTTTAAAGATGTAAGGAAAGGCATGGAGAGCAACAGTAAGAACACTGTTAGTAGTTATCAATCTTCTTCTTCTTCTTCTACTCATGTGGATGGACATGAAGTTCAAGAAAGAAAGAGCTAGAATAGTCAAAGGAGTTGAAGAGCTTTCCAAATCCTTTACTCTCTTTTCTTGTAAAATTATCTGACTATTGATTTTGTGTGTAATGCACGATTAGTCATTTACAGGAACCCTTTTTGTATCTATATTAATCATTTAAAGATGTAAGGAAAGGCATAGAGAGCAACAGTAAGAACACGCAGTGTTCTGTTAGCAGTTACCCATCTTCCTCTTCTTCTTCTACGAATGTGGCTGGACATGAAGTTCAAGAAAGAAAGCTAGAATAGTCAAAGAGGTTTCCAATTAATTTCCTCTCTTTTCTTGTAAAATTATCTGACTGCTAATTTCTTGTGTAATGGTGTTTATTGCAGTGACTCTTTTTTTGTATCTATATTAACTAGATGGAGATCGAGTGATCTTTCCCACTCACACTTTTGAAGCCTCTACATTCTACATCATGAAATCAGAGTATGCAATGTACTATTATTAAAACCAAAAATATTAATTTGATAGCCTGGATTTCTGAAATGATTTGTATGTATGCAAACAAGGGAATTTATTCATTTGTTTTTAAATCTATTGAGGATAAACCATTTGAGGATATACACATAGAATTTAAAAACGTGAATTTATTGGTCAATGTAAGCATTTCAGGGTCCAATTATATCTGCAAATATGAGAAAATTACACTCATATGGACTTTTTGAGTTTGGCTTTACACTGAGGGACTTTGTGAAAGTGGTGGACTTTCACTGACCAAGTTTACACTTTTACCCTTTTATTTTTTATCTATCCTTATGCGTTAGTTTTCTGTAAATTAGATTTACCCTACTTTCCAATTTTTAACTCTCTCTTCTTACCGACACACCCAAACACCGGAGATCTTTATTCTTTCCCCAGAAAATAGAAGAAAGACACCAACTTTAAAAAGAGAACAAGAAGAAATGACGAAGAAGAAGAAAGGCAACAACTTTCAGCCAATTAAGTTTGTTTATGTTTCTGTGTTTATGCATTGGAGACGGCGGCGTTAGAGTCGCAACTTTCAGCAATTAAGTTTGTTTTTGTTTATGTGTTTATGGGTTGGAGACTGTGGTTGGAGTCGGAGTCCGCGATGGCAGCAGCGTTGGAATCGGAGTCCGTGACGGCAGCAGCGTTGGAGTCGGAGTCATTCCACCTCTAACTACCATAGTTCCCCAATTTCTTATTTCACTCATTCTAATTTTCCCTATTCCACCTATTCACAACCATTTGTAGCCTTAGTTTTAGTGGTATACTCCCTCTATTTCATAATATATGCGGTTTAAGGTTTTTGCACACACATTAAGAAGCCATTTAGTTTTTGTACTTTTTGAAATAAAGAAAATTATTTCAATACATTTCAATAAATGAAAAAAAAAGGCAGAATATAAATAATCAAAAGTAACAAAAACACATTTAATTTTGCAAAGCCTCTTATTTTGAAACAAAAAAAAACTCTAAAACCACTTATATTCTGAAACAGAGGTAGTATTCAATAAAAGGAAATCTCTCTTACCTTTTTCATATTTTATGTTTTAAAACTTGGAATAGTTAATACAATATACATGATAAATCAAATTCTCTTCAGAAATTATGTTCAGAATCAAATATCCGAAAGTTAATTAATGATTTATCAAATTTTCATACTATTTATTAAATACTCACAATATCAATTTAATTTTATTATATCACATACTAGATTAAGACCCGCGTATACGCGGGTTTATTTTAAGATTTTGTAATAAAATCATGGAAAAGTATTAAACCAAATTTGATCATTTTAAAGTAAACAGAATAATATTAAAAACCCGATAAAAATATTTAAATAAAATAAGATCGGTAACCTTTTTACGTTTTTATTGTAATTGATATTTTTTTTGAATTCATGATATGAAAAATGAATTAATTTGTTTTATTTTTATTTTTATCCAATATAGAAAGACTTATATATGTCTAAATATGATCAACTGATTAATTAATTCAACAAAACTTTATTATTCCATTCAAGAGATTTCAATTGATGAAATCTTTATTTAATAATTTTTTACCTAACAATATTGAAAATTAAACTATTTAAAATTAGAATATCGGTTCATTATATTTTCTTAATATTAGTTAGTTGCTTGATAATTAATTTGTTAGTTTTCTATTTATATTGTTTCTTTCTCAATTTTGTTTTTGACTCAGACCATTATAAATTTTCATTTTCATTATTAGTTAGTTTTTTTTTAATTTTTTTCTAGTTTTTATATCTGTTTAACATTTTTCCAATTAACATGTCTTCACCGGATCAAATACATGTAACGACAATAATTTTGATTTCTATCCAACCGATATAGAGTTAGATACATGTATCGACAATAATTTTGATTTCTATCCAACTAATATAGAGTTAAATATTATTCATTGATACCATGAATTTTAAATACATGATTTTTTATGAGAGAAAAGATTATACAAAAGATAGAAGCACATAATTGAATCGCAATAGCTTATTATATATTGTTTTTTTCCTGTTCATAATGGGAATATAAACACATATCGCAATTTTGTGAGTTATAAAAATCATACGTATTGCTATCATGTTGTTTGCTTTGATGAGTTTGTGAATGAGAAAAAAAACTACTTTAACTCTCTTTTTATAGGGGTTCATGTAACTTATTCCATGCAGTTATAGGAAATTTAGTTTACCTAACCTATTTCATGTACTAATAGGATTTTATTTATTTCATTAATTTGAATCTTATATGTGTTTGGATAATATAAATTTGATGAATGGGAAACCTTTTTCTATTAGGATATGACAAATAATTTTTTTTTTCTTTTAACTATAAAAGATTAAAATTTCGTTTTTTTTCCTTTATCTATTTTTTTTAATTATATTTTTTTTTCCTTTTTTCTAAGACACATGTCACGATCTTAACGGATATAACATTAAAAGTGACACATGTCGCAATCCTAAATTTTATAAAAATCCTACGTGTCGCAACCACGTCGCGCGCATCCAGCTTTATATAATAAGATATACACTTACTTATTTGACAAGTTAAATTTTTAGTTAATAAAACAATAAAATTGAAATATGAAAACTAGAGTCATCAAGAATTATCCGAGAAGCTAATAAAATAATAAATCATTATTCAAAATATGATATTTTATTCAAAATTTGTTTTGAATTTATTGAGGGGTCCGATCTAAATCTGGATAGCCAAATTTGTATCAATTAAGATCGGATTTAGATAAAAAACAAATCTTGATTTTAAGGGTTCTTATTGAAGAGATTATTGTTTTTAATAGATAATGAAACTAGTGCAAAATTTTCAAAATACGATGAAAAAACATTTTTTTATAACTTTATGGTCCTGAAGTCGATAAACAATTAGAACATTATTACGACAAAGACAATGCTTAAAACAGAAATCAGAAATAATAGTTAATTTCAAGTTATAAATTATTATGCTGTTTACGAAATGGAATCATTATCAATATTATAAACTGTAAATTTAAATCTATAATATTATAAATAAAAGACTTGAATGAAAATTTTAAAACTTGGCTATATACTTTATTTTTTCTTAATTATCTAAGCTATAAATATTTTCAATTTACTCAACCAAAATCCTTAGTTACTATTGGAAATCTTATTATCGAGCCAACTTCAGCAAAAAGTTCAGTTGGATTTCACATTCAGCCGAATTCATGTGTTACCATTTAGACCCAAGTTGGGCCGTTATATAATCTAACACAAATACGATAAGATCATATTCTCCTATCCCAAATTGGGCCGTTGTAGAGTATAATACAAATCGAGAAGATCATATTCTCCAGTCTCAAGTTGGGCCGATCTTACTCTAGCTATATATGAAAGCAGTAGTTCTTATGTAACCCTAAGAAGATAGCAAATGAAAGTAAAATGAGGAAATGCAAACGCACAGCCGCTGAATGTGTGGATAGACACCCCAAAGTTCGCCAAAAAGACGCAATCAACTCTCTACCGGATGAGATTCTCCAACATATCCTCTGCTTTATCCCCACCAAATTAGCAGTCACAACTTCCCTCTTGTCCAGCCGATGGAGACATGTATGGTGCCGTACACCTTCAATCTCGTTGGAGAGCTCTGCATTGCGGGCTGCTTCGAGAATGCAAACACAGTATCGCTACACTGCTCCGAAGATGATGAGTTTACACCTCCTAACCGGCTCGAAGGATAATGTTAAACACGTCAACAGGTGGATCGAGTTGGCCATGTCCCGCCGTGTGGAGAAGATGGACCTGGAACTTCAGTTTAAAAGCGATTACTATGAATTTCCTCACTTCTTCTACATCAATTCCTCTTTCAAGGAGCTCAGAGTTGAGGTAAGGTTTACTTCAGTGGTCCCGAGTTGCTTCGTGGCTTGGACATCCCTGAAGAAGTTGTCCTTTCGTTCATGTAAACTCTCTGATAACTCCATTGCTATGATTCTATCTGGCTGTCCCATTCTCGAGTTCTTGAAATTGGATGGGTGCGTAGATCTGCATGATCTTAAACTCAGCAATGCGCTGCGTCTGAGGACATTACAAGTATTCGGCCCACGGTCACTGAGTCAGAGTCCAGTGAAGATTGTTGCACCACATGTCCGTTGTCTCAAACTAAGAAACTCTTTGATCCTATGCACTTTAGGTGATATCTCCTCTTTAGCCGAAGCTAAACTGAACATTTCGGCTCACGCACTCCCAAGTATCAATCCTGTTTCTCTTGGAGTCATGGTGGTACCGATGGCAGAAATGTTAGAAAAGTTGCACAACGTAGAGAATCTTACTTTTGGAAGAGATTTTCTAAAGGTATGTTTTGGCCATAGTCTTGCATATTTCTCTAATGCCTAGTTCAGTTAATCAGGTTGAATCAGTTGGTAGCATAGTCAACTTTTCACTAATTATGTTTTGATATTTCGTTAAGTTTGTTTAGGTACTTTTTCAAATATATGTTTGTGTCTTTAACCATGCTATATGCTCTTTCTGGTAGAATTTGTCTCGTCCAGAGCTTGGTGGTGTGCCTTTTCCGAAGTTCAAGAGGATCAAAGCTTTGGCTCTTGACACACCGCTCTCTGCGGATATGTGTGTTATTATTGAAAAACTGTTACAACAGTCACCTGGTTTAAAGACGCTAACGATACACACAAGAAGTCACAACACCAAACCGGTATATATTTACCATTTACCATAATCAATCCTCTACTATTTTTACTGGACGGACCATTCTTACTATCAACGAGTTTTGAACAATTTTTTGTTATTCTTGTTTTCTGTTGGGCAGGCTCTTTGGAAGACGTCCCGTTGGGAAGCAGAGTTAAAACACATTGCTACAAGAATAGAAAGTCTGCTTAAGAAAACAAAAGCATTGGAGGAAATGGTAGTACAGTTGGACGATCGCTACTTTAAAGCAATAGGGTTTGAAGAGATGGCTCAAACACTTTCTCGCAACTACAAAAATGTCTCCATTGTGTTCTCAACCAAGCCGGCGGCAATAGAGGAGTGGTGAAGCATAATTAGTAGGGGTTTCGGTATTGAGTCTTGCTCAACAGTTTACATTTTCCTCATTTCAACTCACTATAGATGAAGACTTTTCTGTGTGTTTGTAAGACTAAAAATGTTTTGGAGATTAAGCTAAAACCAAATGTTGTACTTTTAGGTGTTTCTTGTTAGCATTGTTTGCATATCTTCAAACCAATCGACACCTTTTCATTTTATGTCGGTTTTTAGTTCGATTCACCGATGACCGAATCAATTCGTTCTTATTTGTTTTTTTCGCTTAACCCAAAAAATTCGAACAATTTTTTTTTTTCATTTTTATGTTGGTTTCCTTCAGACAGATTTTTCCCAAACGAAAAAAAAGTGATACAATACTAATTACTAATTAGCAAATAGACCCTAACATTTGTAAGAGGAGAGCTGTTTCGTAATAATTAAATAGATCTTAACCCGTGCTTGAACGCACAGGATGTTGTAATTTTTATAGGCAAATTTAAATTATTGACACTTCGCTTCCGTAAATCATATTAGTGTATGTTTTTGATATATATTGACACTTCGCTTCCGTAAACCACAATTATACCTAGAGTTGGGAAGCATGGAATGTTGTGATTTTTATATATATTGACACTTCGCTTCCGTAAACCGCAATTAGACCTAGACATGGAAAGCACGAGATGTTATAAATTATGTAAAGTGTTTGTCGTATATGTTAAGGAATTAGTGTTATTGTTATTATATATGTATCTAATGTTAGCCGTTACCACTATCTATCTCGGAGATGAGTGAAGAAAATAAAACCGGTTTCAATGACCGAACAGTATAACATTTATATGTGTCGATTTGCACGACGGTGTCAGGATTTAATTTGTGAGTTATAATGTAAAAAAAAATTGGCATTTGACATTCCGCTTTTTTTATTACCATTTCTTCAAAAAGTAAATTTATATTGTCTTTATATATTTTTTTCGGTGATATGTTGTCTATTAGTTAGTACACCAAATTTGATTGTATTTTATTATTATTATTTTTTTTAATTTATTAATTTATTTTGTTTTGAAATCGAATTGCTTCGATCCTGGTTAACCGAGAATGCCTTAATTTTAGATTTTTCAGAAACACCATCGTTTCTTCTGTCTCTCATTCTTGTCTTCCGATCTTCATCTTCTGTTCCTATGCTAAATCTGTGCTGTTCTCCTTCTACCTCCTTAAAACAACCGGGTTCAGACGACATATTAGACCTATGTTATAGAGAGTATATTAGCATAAAATCTGAATCAAGGTCCGAAACCAGTTTCTTTTGGTTCTGAGCCCGTGATTCAACAACTTATAGTTGCTAAATGTCTTCGATTCTCCTCCGCTCTTCTCATACGCCTCCAGAATAGTCGATTTCTACTCGCGACAGCCTTTGGACATCGAACTTTAGCTCAGGTAAATCCCGAATCTCAAGAGATTTCCTTTGCGCACAAATCTCAGCATTTTATCTTCGTTGCGAAATCAGATAGCCAATTCCGTTTATTTGGTGATAACTCAATTGATAGGACAGCGAATTAATAGTAATTGGATTCCTATTGATATTGATTCTTTTTTTTTTGTCGTATATTGATAATGATTCTAGTTATGATTCGGAACCCACCAAACATCCATAACCCGTCTGTGATCTGTTTTAAAATTATCGGACATAAACTGAATGTTAATTTCAGTCCGTATTGGAAACCATCTATATTAATGTCAAGGATGAAATCAATTTAAGATTTGGTGACACATTTTTTTTTGTCAAGGAGACATAGGGGCGTTTCCCGTGATCATCGATGAAGAGGATATTGCACGGAAACATTAATCCTCGATTCCATTAAACGTCACTCCAAAATAGTAAGGTAAATATTATTTGCTTCTCATAGGGTTCTAGAAAATGTGATTTCAATGTTGGTTTAGACAGCTGGTTGTCAATTGTTTGTGGGGAGAATTTCCACATATAACCCGAAATTTGCTTTTTTCTATAACCATAACCCGAAACTTGAAAGTATTGCAAAACTAACCTGTTTGGGTAGCGAAATTACAAAGGTCACCCTCATGAACAAACAAAAAAAATTTGCCGCGATTACCAAATTAACCCGGAGCGTAGGTCTACGCTTGCTGTCTACATATAGACTTTTATAGTCGGTCTACCTTGTATTTTAATTTTATATTTTAATTGGGAAAAACAAAAAAAACATTTTGATGAAACCATTTGCATACATAAATCATAAATAGTAATTTGCATCTTGGAAAATTATAATTGCATACAAATGAGTCAAATTAAACTAACATAGGCAAATTAGTTTGGAAAGCTGTAAAAACGTAAGAGGTCTACGGATGAGGTCTACGGTTTAATTAAATGAAACTTTTAATTTATAAAATAAATAGAAAATATTTAGATGAAAAATTTGTATTCATAAACAAGACAAAGACAATTAGAGTCCATATAAAATAAACATACATGTTAATAAGTGAATTTAGGTTGACAAAAACAAATTAGGTTAGAAACTTGTAAAACCGTGAGAGGTCTAGCAACGAGGTCTACAGGAAAATGAAATCTTAAAAATAATTTTTAAAATTGATAAAAAATAATTTGATAAAAAACTTGTATGCATAATTAATTCTTATACATTTGACATCTATTGAAAATAAATTATACGAAAAATGAATCAATCTATAAATGTCATGAGTAAATGTTTCAAATTGATAAGAGTTTGGATAGATAGTTTAGGGTTTAGTTGTCCAATTCTTAGGGTTTAGATAGTTTCAATTTGTATTTTTGTTTTTGGTTGGTTTTTTTATCTATATTTAATTGTTTTGTTATCCAAACCATAAATATTGTAAATGGCAAACAAAATTTGATATTTGGTTCATGTTTTTTATAAAATTTGTGGTTTAGGGTTATGTAGACCTCAGTTGTAGACCGCACAAGAAGGTAAAATTGAAATAACCGGAATGGTTTAGAAATTAAATTTGCGGGAATTCCAAAATTTGAAAACCAATTTAGCGGGAAACAAAAATTCTAAATTTGATGGACCGTGTTCATAGACCACGTAGACAACGTTTGTAACCCATGTTTGTAGACCTCAAAACACTATGGTTTAACCTAATTTTTTTAAATAAACCGAAAAATTTGATGGACCGTGTTCATAGACCACGTTAGACAACGTTTGTAACCCATGTTTGTAGACCTCAAAAAACTATGGTTTAACCTAGGTTTCTACACAAGCTTCATGACCCAGGTTACTTCCTTATACATTTCTCTATCAATGGAAGCTACTTTGATGATGCTCTTTGCGATTCCGGTTCTAGTGTGAACCTTATGCCGGCCGAGATAGCCAAGAAGTTGGGATTGATCAATTCAATTGTGAAATCTCGAATGGATTTAAAGCTAGCTGATTCATCATTGACCGAACCACTTGGAGAGGTTAAAGACATTCAGCTTGATTTTGGAGGCTGCATAGTTCCAGCCAACTTCTATGTAGTAACCATGAAGGATCCGGAGGACTTAAAGCTTTTGCTTGGAAGATCATTCCTAGCCACAGCTGGAGCGATCATGGATTGGCCTAATAGAAGAATCTCTCTAGCCAATGTTGACAAGGACACCTTCTACGATGCTGCACCTCCCGGTTTCTCATCCAAGCGATTTCGCTACACAAGTGGAGGAGAGTGCTCACAAGTAAGAGGAGAGTCGCATGGCTACTTGATCAAGGAAGTTCTACAGGACAAGATGCACTTGGAATCATCAGGCAACAGGAAGTTCTTGGAGCCACCAATCCTACCTAACTAAGAACACAAAGGAGTCGAGCTACAAAGACTTAAAACAAGCGCTTGTGGGAGGCAACCCACATTTTCTTATCCCTTCCTCTTTTTATTTTTGTTTTTATTTTTATAACTACTTATTTGTTCTATTTATAACTCTTAAATTTTTGAGAGTTTAATAAATTTTACAAAAATAAAATAAAAAGTGTTTTAGGAAAAAGTACCAAAAAGGAGGCTTACATGAAAAATGCATTGGAAAAGCTACATCGCCACAATCGGCCCAAGGATCAACCATCTTTGGTCTAAGTGTCAAGCATTGAGTCTAGTTTGAGTCCCACCCAAGTCCCACCCATGTTTCAAGAAGCAAAGAATCCAAGAAGGGCCGGGCACAAAATCCGGCCATTGGAACACTATTGCACAAGGCAAAGGTAAGTATCTTCCATTCTTATGTCATTTCTCAAACACTTATCTCTACATTTCACACATGAACACTACTTGGATTCTGATCAAGATCCAAGTACATGGTTTCACGATCAAGTCTTTGATTGGGAAGTTCAAATATTGAACAACTCAATCATTGACAGAGTTTAACAAAGAGTTACTAGTGTTTTTCAGATATAAACATGACAGGAAAACCGGTTCAAAATATCAACAAACATGGCGCGCAAGGAGCCACAACCGGCCAAAGGAGGATTTACATGCCAAACATGAGAGATGAGGGAAATCCAACCACAATTCAATCCAGGAGGGATAGAAAAACAGTTCGGTCGAAGCAGAACTCAATTGGCCCGAGTAAAAAAGGAGATATCACATCACAATCACTCTCTCGGCCAGAATCGACGAACCAAGCGACAATGCTCGACCATCTCCCAAACGGCACGACCGAAGTCCACCAAACTTCACAGGCGACCTCAAAACATCATTTTGGTCGGCAAATCCAAAAGATAGGACGAGAAAAAGTGCCTGCTACGTGAGATAGACGAGGAAGCTCAATACGGCCGACGGCGATGCATAGAATGGCCGACGAACTCAAAACCTCAAGAAGGCGCGAACACCGGTGGAAACTGATCCTCTGGAGTCCAAAAAACACCAAGGAAGAAGAAAGGAAGGAGACGATCGAACAGAATACAAGATGGCCAAAGGAATCACATCCCGACGCCATTGGCGCGCACGACGAAAGATCTCCGAATCCACACGTTCAAATCGCCTCAAACTTCACAAGGAGCCACAAAACATAAGGTTGGTCGATGAAATTCATTTCAGTACAATGAATTCCTTACAATTCAAGAGATGGCCGATGGAGTGAAATTTGGCCGATCGCGAGCAAGTAAAATGGCCGACAATCCAAATCACGGCATTTACCGCGGCCACCGGCTCAAATCACCTCAATCAAGCATCCACATCGCATCTAAAGAAGAAAATCCAGATTGGAACGAGCAGAATTGGAGAAGACCGAAGGAAGACGTTCCCGGAGCCAATTTGAAAATTTTTCAAAGGAGATCTCAAACCACTCGTTCAAACGACCCCAAACTTCACCAGTCGCCATATTATACAATATTGGTCGACGAAATTTCAAGATAGGTCGAGGAAATCTTCACGGTTCGAGCTGTAGTCCATACCATCACCATCCGGTCGACCAAAACGGACCAGTCTCGGCCAAAAAGGCGAAAAACAGAAAACCAAGGGAGAATTGTCACATTCATCCAACCAAATCCAACAGCTATGATGTTTGCACCAGTCAGTTCATTCCTGGAAGCAACTCAAGCGCACAACCGATCTTCACATCAAAGGCCAAAAATTTGGGTACAATTTTCTACAAACTCTAACTTTTCCATTCTTATTTATCATTACCTCTCTTAATTGGATTTTTCTTACACCGAGACGGTGCAAGTTAAGTCTGGGGGGATTACTAACAAGTTTGTTCTTTTTGGCTTTTCATTGAGTCGTTTTATTGAGTCAAAATTTTGTCAAAGGATTATGACCTTATCTTGGATCTAACCATTGTTGTGCTAACGTTTAAGTGACCATTGAAGCAGTCTTGGCAATACATCTTACCACAGGGACACTATGAGTTGATCGATCTACCAAAAACGCCCACACCTCCAAGGACTTGAGAAGGATCCACTCTTGACTCCGCCCTTAATGAACTTAATCTTCTCAGCTAGGGGCTTGGCATACAAATGGCATGATTCCTCATCCTCTCCATCAAATGAAAAAGTCTTAGTGAGTTCGTGCTTCCCTCTCTCTCCCCTTCAAATTTAAAGAAAAAGCGTAAGGTCCAAGTAACCGGGGATTCGGTGGCAAACACCATCAATACTCGCGTCTATGGAAGGCCTATGAATCCAAGCAACCGGGGATTCGGTGGCAAACACCATCAATACTCGCGTCTGTGGAAGATCCAAGCAAAACCTCTATAATAAAGAGAAGGAGTTGAATAAAAAAATACTTCGCTACCCTAAAAAAGGGATGAGTCAACTCAAAGAAGTGAGAAGAGAGAGAGGAGAAACATGGAGTAAAAAGACAAGTGCCAAAACAAGGGGATGAGTAAGAGTCTAAAGCCGGCTGATCGATACTCCCTAGTTGAGACCACACCTTTAGAAATGAAAGGAGTCAAGGAGGGTGAATTGGATTGTCCAAAGAGAGGTGGGCCGCCTTGGAAAAATCGCAAAACTCATGGTATGTACTCTTGTTCTTAATTCAAATATTTGCCTTTACTACTTTCATGTGGATTACTAAAACCAAGCCAACCCGGATTTCCTAATGATTTGAGAGTTCTTGCGTTTTCAAACCTCTCTTCCTCTCTTAGTTTGCTTGGGGACAAGCAAAAGGCTAAGTCTGGGGGAGTTGATATACCCATATCTTTCATGTTTTTATCAAGGTTTTCACTATGTTTTTAATACAAATAATGTGGTTTTTAAGCCCAAGAGGTAGTTTTCTTGTATATTCTGGTTTTGAGCATCATTCAGGTCAAAATAGCAAAGAAGAGTCAAAATGGAGCAAAAAGAGTCAAATCACCAAGTTCCCAAGTCTAGAGCACCAAATCTACATTTCTCGCTAAAGACCAAACCGGAGCATCCGAAGTACGACCGCATATTCATGCCTTCCCGACGTCCAAAAGTCATGATTCTTATATGGAAAGATAGATATTTGAGTCATGACCCGCGGCGAAGTGGAAAGAGGTCATTTGGATCACTCGTTGGACCGGAACTTATTTTCTACCAAGACATGTCCGACGAGCGCCTAAGTAGAGCCCATGGAGACTTTGATGGATCAAGAGGCCCGAGATACCGCGCCCAAGGCCTTGGCTCATCTTGACACTAGCATAACTCAATCCAGAAGCTTCCATTGGCCTGAACGCGGCCCATTCAAGAACTTGGAGAGCAAGCTCAAGCGGCTAAAGAGAAATGGAAACTTTCCTCTTCTGCGCGCGCTCAACTTTGCCGACCTAGACCCGCTCTCTACCTATATATACTTGCTTTTAGCCTCTTGTAATAAGAATCACCAGCCGCATAACAAGAAACACTTATTCAATAAAGTTCGGAGCCACTTAGGTGGTCTCCTTCTTCTTTCTTTTCTTCTTTTGCATTTGTATATAGCTTGCATGTTTCAATTTATATAGTCTAGAAGTAGAGATTTCTCCCTAAGGGTGAGGCGTGGTTTAGTCTATATTCCGCCGCCTCTCTCTCTAAGGATTCATGAGACTTCATCTACTATCTAAGACTCATTGTTGAATTATGGATCCTTCCAATGAGGACGTGATATAATGGCCATCGAAAATCGATTGTTAAAAGGGGAAACCCTATGGTTCTCCATCTTTATTTATGCTTAATGCTTGTTGCTAGAGTAGCTAACTAGTGACTTGATTTTAGGTTGATATACTCTCCAAAAGCTTGTTATATCTCCGGACATAATATTTGATGGGCAAATCGTTTTAGGCTACGAAAGTAGACCTAAAGAGTTTTGTGAACAATCATTACTTGGATGTAATGCATGTCTCACTCTACAATGACCAACGAAAGCTGAGCCCATTGGTTTAAGAGACATAGGGGATTGGAACCACGAAAGTGGAATAATCCTTCCTTAGTGTTTTGAGTTCAAAAGAATCGGATTTTAACAAACTTTTCAATCGACTTGGCTCATGTTTTCAAAAGAGTTTTCAATAGTTCAATAATGTTGCTTGTATAGAATTGCATTGTTATTTCTTTTGCGTGTTCTAAACAAACACAAACCCTTGCATCTTTTGATTTAGCTTAGTCATTTAAACTCTATGATTATGTAATGTGTGAAATCCAATCCCTTGTGGTTCGACCCCTAAATACTACAATTATATGTTGTGCACTTGCAACACTAGTTGTCTTAGGGAATTATTACTTGTACTCATCCCATAGATGCCGCGATCAGATTCCAATAGGATTGAATTCAAATATAGAGATTCCTTCTTCACTTCCGACATGAACAGGATCTAGAAATATACGTTATAACATCAGGTCACTATAAATATAAAAAACTTGTATTAGTCAAGGGAGGAAGCTTCTTTTAGCTAAATTTCTATATACTAACCGTCTATCCAAAAGAATCCGCCAATCAGTTAAAAGACATACTATGGTCTCCGTTTTACCATAGTAGAGCCAAAATCGTAAACATTTAGCTGCTAAAGCGCCCTTTGCACGGCAAAGTATTCGAACCCCACTAAAGAAATGGAAAATTGTTCAAGTATATAAATATAATTCAGAAACTGTAAATATGTTAAGAAACTTAAGGGTCTTATAGATATATGTACTCGTTATCCTGGAGGGTGAAATCTATCGAGTTAGTGATTTTTGGAGCATCGTTTAGTGTGTTCCAAGGAATAGAGTCATCTTCCGTGAGCTTGCTGATCTTCACTTCATATATAAACCCTAGAAAATCTACAAAAAGAACACATAAATAACGTTAATATATTGAAACCACATTCCTTACAGGGATCTTTTAATAAGGAAGCGAAAATGAGAAGTAAGAAAAAGCAACCTCTGGTAAAAGAAGATTGAACATTAGAACTGTAGCCTAAGACATATTCATAAGGCAGAATGTCTAGGTGAATAAAAACATCGAAATCCGCTGCACGTGTGACTTCGGTGTTGGACGTTAGAGCAATCTTCTTTCTTGCTTCCGTCAAACGGAACTCTGTATCCACCATAATAACTGAAAATCCGGTTAGAATCTTGCATTCCCCTTCATGAAGACATCTCTTAAACCTATTCATCTGATTTGCTTGTTCAACGAATGCTTGCATCTTTGTGCCCTGACATTGGTTATAAACTTCCATTAGGACAAAACTTTTGTGTCAAAATTCTGTTTTATATGAGTATTTGTAAAGATTGAAAACAAACCTGATTGTCAACAAAAAGAAAACTTAGGCCTTCCCCCTGATCTGCCTCCAACGTATCCCACATCTTAGAAACTCTAACCAAAACACTCGAATCATCTTTCTTAGGTGAGACGTCGTCAAGTTTCGTGAAGTTTGCCATTGAAATTCTGATTTGAAATTTAGAGTACTTTGTTTTCTTCTCTTAAACCTAACTTCGGAGAGGAATCTGCGTATATAAAGAATAAAATCAGGGTAGAGAGTAGATCCCGTCGGTTGATATTAAACGACGTGATGGTCAAGTTTTTTTCCTTTTCTTTTAATTTTTTTTTTGCAAAATTTTCGTATCTATTGGTAACTATGGCTATTTTCCTTTTCGTTTAGCGATAAAATCCCGGATTTGACGTTACAGTTAATATTGTTCGTGAATATTCTTTAAACTATTACTTAGTTGGAAAAACAATCTATCCACTATGGTTATTTACGAAACCAACATTCCAATATTATGAGGATCTGACCAGAGAGTTTATATTTCAGTTACTTCCTTAGAAATTATCTACACATGTAAAATATTTTGTTACATGTATATTTCCTTTGAGGTTTTGTATTTGTGAATATTCTTTTAACTACTACTTAGTCCGGAAAATCTTGAATAAGTAGACAGAAGTTTTATTATTAGATAGATATCATAAAAACATTCTCAAGCAAACGTAAACAGAAACAATATTAAGTTGAAAAACAAATGTGGCAACACAAATTTCGATATTAAGGATCACATAGTAGAATTTCATGGAGATAGTACAACCACCTCCTCAACGGAACCATCACTGTCATTGAAGCTGCAAGAAATTTGTTTATCATCATTTGTATTAGTAAATCATTGAATGTTTTTGAAACTAATGTCTGTAAGGATTGAAGATAATAGATATCTAACTTACTATTCAGCGCTGAAGTCATAAACATCCTGATAGTTAGCATTGAACTGAAATCTAGATATTCCTCTAGCGTCCTTAATCTTGAGCTCTCCGGTTCCTATGATTTGTTTCAATTAGTGGTTGAATATAATAGATACACTTGTAAAATAATTCATTAGACTAAAGTTTCATACTTTGTTCTAGGTAAACCATCCAGTCACTCATTGTAATGAATGTTTCTGTTGAACCATGCCTCCACCATTTATCATGTATTTGAACAGCCAAGACTCCATAAGCTTTGCATTCCATTGTTACTCCACTATGGTCCCAATCATAAAAATGTCGATTAGCTTAGTCAGATATAAAGAAAAAGACATAACAGGTTGAAATTTTTAAATGCGAGCAAACATAGCTTGCTTAACTTACTCTAAGCCCTTGATGGTGAACATAACTCTGGATGTCTTCTTGTTATTATCTAGTGTAAAGTTCTGGTCTTTGACAACTTTAAGCTCATCAACTCCATCCAGATAGCCTATAAGGTCTAAGGGTTTTGGATAGAGTTGTTAAACTTCGTTATTAATTCCACAAACTACAAATATAAGGAGATCATAATAGTTGATATCATACCAGAGTTGACTTACCAAGAGGATGATGAGAGTTGTACACCCAATTCTTTATGTCTGTGTAGTCCTTGAAATTCATATAGTGCTCTTGATGAATACCACTTGCTGCATGCAGGTCTGTATTGTCGGTGAAGACGATTGTATGTTGATTCTCGGAGAAAAGTTCCTCAGGTGGTGTTAGCTCGACGACGAATCCGGAGATTAGTTTCCAGTGGCCCTCGTGCACATTCATGTCGAAATGGTCATATAGGCCATCCTCGTCACTTTAGCAGGTATTTTTCCATCCTTGAATTTTTCAAACACAGAGAAAACTCTGTTAGCTCAGTTACTAAATTAATCATGCTAATAACTTATCTATACTATTGTTATGAGATGACTCATGATCGAGAAACTTACATGTTCATCAACTAACTGAAAACGCAATATTTCTCCACCACCATCTATCATCTCGGTCCATTTCTTCAAGACCTTCACTCTTATGATCCAATCGTCCCTCTGAGGAGATAGCTCCACAACCCTTGAAATATTTGCCATATCTAGTCGATATACGCTGCTTGTGTTGAATAGGTTAAATTGTGTTTCTTGTATTTATAGGCACAACATCGTCCCGTAGTATATTTATTTTCCTTTTATTACACCTGTTTTAAATGGAAACTATATATTTTTATAAATAAATTGACATTGATTGATGGTTGCAGATTTGTCTTCTCAATGGAAAAAGGAAAAGCTGAACTCTGATACATATATCTTCACACGCAAAGGTATGTTTCCTTACACTTTTCTTGAAATTTGAGGCATTTACTGAACACTATCTAATCTCATTACACAATTGGTTATGATATGTGCATATCAACCTTAGTAAACTGAATTCGACTTGATGTATACAATTAAAATAGATGAAACAGGCCTATAGTGAGCCACTAAGGGAAGATTTGAAATTTTGATTTCATTAATCTCATCGTAATTTTAATTTTACTTAAGGGAAATTTACTTTTCGTGTTTGATCCACATAATTGAGAGTAAGACTCGTATTGCTATAGGCCCATAATGCAACAATTGTACATTCATTAACACAACTTATATCTTATTTTGCAATTACCAAATTTTAGATATCAATTAACTTATAAAAACTAAAATATTTTTATATCGTAGTAAGATTGAATATGATCCGTGAATTAAATTATTGTGGAACCAATAGGTTACCATATGACTCATTGTAAATAATGAGTTCAACAATGTCTTAAGACCTAGAATCTAGAAGATCATATAGAAGTAGAATGATTAGAGGTTCTTGAAAACCTCTTTGAAAACAACATTGGTTGTTCTCCTCTGCGGCTTCCCTTCGCTGTCGACGATCAAGATCTTCAATCCCTTCTTGGAGGTTACCCTGGAGATTGCGACGTAAAGCTGTCCATGAGAGAAAACAGGCCTTGGCAAGAATATCCCAACCTGTGATAAAGACTGACCCTGGCTCTTGTTGATGGTTATTGCGAATGCAACAGCTAAAGGAAGTTGTCTTCTCCTCATCTTGAAAGGAAGTAGGGTGTCCGATGGAGTAATCAAAAGCCTAGGAATAATAACCTTCACACCGACCTTATCTCCTGTTATAACTTTAGCTTCAACCATAAAATCAGCTAATTGAGTTATCTGCAATCTCGTTCCGTTCATTAGACCTCCTATGGGATCAATATTTCTGAGCAACATAACTGGACAGCCAACCTTCAGTCGCAAAGCGTGATTAGGTAAACCAGCTACTCTTATGCTGTTTAGGAATTCCGTGCTTAGAGCCTCGTCGTTAATAGCGGCTGTGTCACAAGGATCTATTGTATCAGAGCTTAGATAGGTTCTCTCCTCCCCTGGGAAAACGAAATTTAAAACGTTCTAATCATATACCTTAATTAGCAAGAAACTCAATTAAATTATATAGCACTGAATTAGCAAGCAACTCAATTTGTGACTTATCAAACTGAAAAAGAAGAGACTAACCATTCAGCTTATCGAGCATGTATTCATTGATCATGTTGACATCTTCGTTAGTGGGACAGAGAATAGCTCTGCCTTGGAAAAATAAGGGATCTGTATTGTCCTGTAGATCAGAAGCATCTCCATATATTTCTCTGCTTATGGCTTCGATAGGTTCCTCTGCATCAGTTATTAAAAACTCTTCCGGAATATCTATCTCAGCTTCTCCATCGTTAGGTTCTTCTATCTTACCATCCCCAACATCAAGAATCCATTTAGAAAAATGCTTTAGATCAGTTGCTTCTTCTGCGGTCAAGTTGTCAGATAGTAATCGCATATTTTTGGTTAGCTTGAGAACCTTGCAGTGCTTCCAGAGATAAGATGAGTTCAGAGCAGAGCATACAACCTCTGCTCTACCGGCTCCAGGAATCACAGGAAGAACCTGTCGAAAATCACCTCCAAAGACAATAACCTTTCCACCAAAAGGTTTCCCATCTTCATTACCAACAATATCAGACAGTGAGCGATCCAAAGACTCAAAACAATGCTTATGCATCATCGGAGCTTCATCCCATATAATCAGAGAAGCTTCTTTCACCAGATTTGCGAGATCTCCACCTTTTTCCATGTTGCATGTTGATGTTTCATGAGGATTTATTGGTATTCCAAACCTGGAATGAGCCGTTCTCCCTCCCTGTAACAAAAGACTTGCTATACCGCTTGAAGCAACGTTGAGAACTATCTCTCCCCGACATCTTATTGCCGATGACAATATTTTCCATAGAAAAGTTTTTCCTGTTCCACCGAATCCAAATAGAAAAAACACACCTCCAGTTCTCTCTAAAACAGCACCAACAATCTCGTCATACACTTTCTTCTGCTCATCGGTTAGCTTTGGCAAATCTCTATCGTGATTCTCTTTCTGTTCTTTCTGATTGTAGCTTTTCTCGTCGACGATTAAAACATTTTCCTCTCTTGCAACAGTTCTTCGTGGCTTCGGCATAGTCTTAAAACGTGAGAAATCTCCACCGTTCCTTTTTAATATGTTTTCAATCTCTTGCAAACACAATTCTCTCCGGTCTTCATCACTCAAGATATATTCTGAAACATACATCACCATTAGAGCCTTTATGTAATATAGTTTTCAAAAATAAAAATGCGTTTATTATATACCTGGTCTATTAAGCTCGCGTCTTCTAATCATTTGTAAGTCATCTGAAAGAGCCTCCCAAGTATTTTTCCAAACCAGCTCTGGAGAAGTTAAACTGTCCGAATTAAGCATGGTGACGAATAACTGCCGAAGTTGAGCTGCGGAAGTCGTGAAGCTTCTCCTGAGAATATCATCAATGTACTCTTGGTCATCCTCTAACAAACCCCTGGCATAGCACGCATCCTTGTTGCTCGGATATAGCACTCCATTGTATGTCTTGATGTCGTCAAAACATGTGGGACCACGGACAACATTTAGCAACACTCGACAATAATAAGCATCTTCAATCTTCCTTGGGGCATAGTTGATTCTGCCAATTGCAAAACCTGTCTCCCTTTCTTTCCAACGTTTCTGGCTAGCAATATATACAAAGAAATTTGGAATCTGAACATAGGTTAGCGTTCTAGCAAACTCATTTTCCAAATTCAGCTGAAACCAAGCCAACATCATAGTCTTCTCGATCAGTTTTCGTGTAACAACCCTTTCCAGCTTGTCCTTCCCTTTGAAGATAACCAGCTGTTTCCCTTCTAAGTGAAAAGTGAGTTTAACCACAGACACAGATCTATGATGTATTTTAAACCCCAGTGTTCTCCATACAGCTTCTGTAGCACCTACAAACCTTCACAAAACGTTTCAAAACTTGATTTCAGAAAACGGTGTCTAACCTCAAAATTCATTCATAAATGTTATCAAAGGAAACAGAATATATTAAGATTTTGATGGAACATCTTACCGGCAATCAAAATAGTCTTTAATCTCGTTAACCTGCTCAACCTTCTCAGTGGACTCAGAACTATCTTCAGTCTGCTTAGCTCCATTAGTAGGTCTCCCATTTTTCTTTTTCTGCCGTGCTTCTTCACCAAGTGTGGCCTGCTCAGCTGACTCAACAACGACAGCAACACGATCTGATCCTTTGTTGATATACTTAAATAAGTACTTAATAGCAGCTGACTGGTTGCACCATTCTACATTGATGTGAGCTTTGTAACGGATGGACAGAGCTCTGTTATATGGAATCACGTATCGGTTGTCACACTTGAAACCATTCTTCTCGATAAACACACCTGGCTGGTCCCGTCTCCTGTATATTGGGAAGCCATCTTTGCTTATCTTGGTTCTCTCTGCATGAGCTTTCGGGAATAGCTTTGAACATTTTCCATTTTCCATACATGGTGAGTTTATGTTCACATTACCGCAAGGACCGTGAATCATCATATCCTTCACAACTTCATATAGTTCTGGCTCCTCCACCTTATCTGGTATCTCTGCTGATATAATCTTATCGATATCATCCGTAGTTGGAAACTTGCACTTCTGATGCATAAACAGAAGAATGTGAGCATGTGGCAGTCCTCGTTTTTGAAATTCTATTGTATACATTGCTGCATTGTTAAAAGAAGTGATCGTGAATCATAGGAATAATAATTGTGCAGAAATCAAATGAAAACATACTTGTTAGTTTACTACTTATAATATGATGGATTGGAAGGAAACTTACACGCAACTGTTTGGCCTAGGAGTCCATTATCCGTCAAGTCTTCCATGAGTGACGCTAGTTTTATATGATACAGCCTGCAGATGAGTTCAGCTCTATCCGTAGGTTTCAGATTTGTACCATCAAGCTCTCGGGTTAGTTCTGGCCATTTAGGATTGCATGTAAATGTGATGAACAAATCCGGGAAACCATAATGTCTGCATATCGCCATCGCATCGAAATATAACTCCCTCATATACCTTGGTCCTCCAGTGAAAGACGCATGCAAGTAAAACTTATTACCTTGTTCCTCCATTTCAATGACACCTGCGTCTTCAGCTTGTTTGATTGAGTCATAACTGTCTGATCTCAAGCTTGTCTGGTTCATCCGCAGATAGGTAAGCCTGTTAGTCTCAATCATGGTGTAGGTATCGACCAAGTACTGCTGAAACAGCCTCCTCGAGTGTAAGAGATGGTTAGACTCTTTTGTTCTTTCAAATAGACGGAAAGCAAAAAACTGTCTAACAGAGATGTTTTCCTTCTTATTTTTTTTCCCGTAAACTGAATCTGCTTTCTTAATTCCAAGCCTGAAACCATCTTCTCCATAAACGAAACACGTAGGATATTGTAGTGGGATATACGACGGATGAATCTCGCTAATACGCCTCAGCTTTCCGGATTGTTTTTGTAGGATTATATCACGGTTCTTCCCCATGTCAAAATTGAAATCTCCGGGAATGATTGCAGCAACCTCAGAAGCCGTAGGAGTGTTGTAAGTTCTTCCATCAGTAACACGATCACTTATAATCCTCATGTGAAAACTGTGCTCAGGGTCAGTGTTGAATCTCTCTCTTGCAGACCGAAATGTCTTCACGTACGGGTTGTGCTCATCTAAGACCTTGACGAACAATTCAATGATTTCCTTCCGTAGTCGGTTCTTCTTAGTTGATTCTTGTGCATTTTTAGCCTTGCTGGATAAGAGAGGATAAACAGGTTAGTACTAATGATAACATAAACTGTTTGTGATTCAAGAATCTATACTATTAAATTATAAACTATGTAATATAAATTACCTGAGGAAAGTGAGCCTATTTTCGATCTCATTCTCCATGTCAACAATATACATCTGATAGAATTTTGCATAATCTCCAGGTTGTGGAATCATGCTGCCCATTAAATGGTAATTCTCTCCGTGCAACTGAAACATTTGTGGACCCCTCCCTTTTTTTACAGAATGATCAACTCTTCCACCCATTGAAGTAAAGGAAAAAAGCATGCTGTAAGGCCTGATGTGCTTCTGATAATGTCGGCTTAATTCATCATCTCCATAAATCAAATTTTTAATTTCAGGAGGAGGATCCTTTAGCAACGGCAACGTTACTTGTCCCTGCATACAGCAAAGCGTGAAGACTGGATTGCGTGACCTCTTCTTCTTGTTGATACGTTCACCATACCAAAACTTAGCATCACAGTGAGTGCAACGATATGTCATATCACCCTCATCATTATATTCTGTACGGGACAATCCAAAATCACCAGAAACTTAGTGTATTTTCTAGAAAATTAGAAACTACCAAGATTATGCAAGACTTTTAAATTACCAAGTTTTAATGGTTC